CATTTCATCATGCAAATACTGCATGTAATATTAAACTGTATATAAGTATATATGTGAGATGAGAGAGTCAAGCTATTGTCCAAAGCACCTGAAAGCAGGAGAAGAAGCAACGGATGGAAACTAATCAAGAAGAGAAGCAACCTAGAACTCATGAGAAATTTCCTGGATGTGAGAACAATTAACCAGTAGAACTTGCCTCCAGAAGTTGTGGGAACTCCTTCACTGGAGGTTTTTAAGAAGAGACTGGACAACCACTTGTCTGAAATGGTATAGGGTTTCCTGCCTGAGCAGGGGGTTGGACTAGAAGACCTCCAAGGTCCCTTCCAACTATTATTATTATTATTATTGCTTATGCTTGAGATCACGGCCATGATTAGGAAGCAGCTGAAAATCCTAAATCTGACTTGATCCCAGTTCAACCATGACTTTTTAAAACAATTTGAGAAAGGGAAAAAAATAATTAGATACAAACATCCAGCCTAATGCCGTTGAGGATATTTCTAAAGGTAGGCTGGTCAGTTTTATTTGCAAAAGCCCTTTGGGTAGATCTTCTACTGGTAGAGCAAGGAGAGAGGTGAAGTTCAGGAATAGGCTTTGCCAGTTACTGATCTTCGTCTTCCAGGGGTTCTCAACCTTGGCAACTTTAAAACTTGTGGACTTCAACTCCCAGAATTCCTCAGCCAGCAAAGCTGGCTGAGGTATTCTGCGAGTTGAAGTAGACAAGTCTTAAAGTTGCCAAGGTTGAGAACCCCTGCAGTTTTAAGCAATGATTAAGTCCACTCCCAATAAAACAGGGGTGTCCAACCTTGGCAACTTTAAGATCTGTGGAGCAGCTCCCAGAATTCCCAAGCCAATCATGCTGGCTGGGGAATTCTGGGAGTTTTAATCCACAAATCCTAACTTTGCCAAGGTTGGACACCCCTGCATTAAAGTATTCTCTGGAAATTAAGTCTGATATATATTAGTGACAAGTTCATACACCCTGCTAAGCCATTGTTGATTTAGTCATGATTTTGGATAAACCGCGACTTTATAAATAATGGTTTGCAAATCATAATGACTACAAATCACATTATGTCGAAAGGAAATAAATTACACGATGGCTTAACACGATGCATGAATCCAGCCGTTAATCTACTTTCCATAGACAGCCGGAGTAGCACAGAGATTAGGATGTTGGGAGTAATATTGGGAAGACCCAGGCAGCAGCCTGCATATATTATGGAAATTCTTCAGTAACTTTCAGCCAGACGATTCTTATTAGGAGAATAAAATTAGGGAAGGTTGCCTCGAGTTCCTGAGAAACAGGATGATAAAAAGATATTATACACATTGTTCTTGACTTTGAATCATTCATTCAGTGACTGTTCAAAGTTACAATGGTGATGAAAAAAGTGACTTACAACTGGCCTTTACACTTGCAAGCCGACATGTGATCAAAATTCAGCTGCATGGCAACCCAGGATGCATTTACGACGGTTGCAGCATCCCAGGGTCCCTGCCATTTGGTGTAAAGTCAATGTGGGAATTGACTTTAAGCTGATTTGCTTAATGACCACAGGATTCACTTAGCAGGTGCAGTGATCCGCTTATAAAACTGGACGGGACTCACTTTTAACACCCACTTTGCTTAGCAAGTTCTAGTCCCAGTTGTGATCATAAAGTCGGGGACCCGTCCTGTACATTAGTGAGTGCTTCCATTTTGTGATAAAGGATTTCAAGGGAAATATTTTATCTCCTAGTCATGTTTCAAAATCTTATGCATACATCAATAATCAGATCATACAGGCAGGCATATGTGTGTACATGAATGCACAATCTTTCTGTTTATTCCAAATAAGATCACCAATGCAATGACTACAGTGGTTGTGGCTCATTTCATGGCACAATCCTGTATCTATTCAGAAGTAAATTTGACTTCAGATAAACTTAGGGATTAATGTACCGACCGAGTTTCTTGCAGACAAAGAGGCATGGCTGGATTACAAACGCTCTCTAGCCACAAAGGACATAAATAAGCACTGGCAGTAGAAATCCTCTTTTACTACTTCTTTAATGTATTAAGTCTTTCTAATAAAAGTTAACTGCAAATTAATAGCAGCCAATCCACGTTAGCCTTTATTGTCTGGTTGTTATTTTTTTGTTTGTTTGTCATTTATAAGTGAAGCAAGTCTAATAAACGGAGTTAAAACAAATTGTAAAAAACATGAAAGAACTTGGGGACCCCCATGAGTGCATCCTACTGGTTGATCATTTTATTAAAGATGCCAAGAAAGGAACTCCTTTCCTTTGCTAATGAGAATTCTTTTGCTCCGATTGCAAAGGGTTCTTTTCAGGAAGAAACATGCCAGCTAAAAGCAAGCCATCATCCACTACAACAGATATCAAAGGTGAAGTGGTTTTGCAAAAGCATGACAAATGCTGATATCCATGCTTTAAAGAAAACAAGATGCGTTTCTTGAACTAAGGGAATCACTCCATGCGCTCCAAATTATCACTTGAAAGGATGGAAGCAATCCCTGGTCCAAAAAGGCTTAGGTAGGTATGGTTCATTATTATTCATTACATATTATTGCCTGCACTACCTCTGAGGACATCAGAGGTAGCACAAATCCTTTCCTATCTTAGCACCCTGACACCTTGAAGATTTGCTAAGGTAAGCTGCATCCCTGAACAGGAATATTACTATTACAAATTTTCCTTTATTAACATCATACGAAATACTCTCTACGGGTAACTCTCGACTTACAACAGTTCGTTTAGTCACTATTCAAGGTTACAACAGCACTGAAAAAAAGTGACTTTTGATCATTTTTCACACGACCATTGCATTCAGAGGCTTGGCAACTGGCATATTCTTATCACAGTTGCAGCGTCCTGGGGTCACTTTTGTAACCTTTTGATGAGCAAAGTCAATGGGGAAACCAGATTCATTAACAACTGTGTTATTAACAACTGCAGCGATTCACTTAACAACAGTGGCAAGGTTTTAAAAGGGAGCAAAACTCACTTAACAAATGTCTCAGCAACACAAACGTTGGGCTCAATTGTAATCGTAAGTCGAGGATTACCTGTAATATGGTCACTGGGTTATGACCCTACACACCTAGGACTATAGGCTTGCCACACAATTTGTCTACTCCAAAGCAAACCTCATAGAGCAGGGCTTACTTCCCGAGATGTCCACATCTAGAAATCTGTATGTTAAGGCTGAGAAACTCAACATGTTACAAGGAGAAGCTCCTAAGTGAAAACATGAAGACTTGTTTCTGAATGAATATATCTAAGGTCCTAATGGATGCTTTTTTGGAACATTTGGATCAGATACAGTACAGCTCATTTGGGAATACTCTGGAAAAAGAAAATAACCATTCAACTTCTCAAGTTCCAACTTTGGCAAAGAAAAATGCAGGTGAACGCAAGCGAAGGAGAGGAGAAAGCAAAAGAATGTGTCATTTTTAAAAAGTCAAGAGAATTCAAATCTACAGAAGCTCATAGTAAAATTAAACCTCCTTCCGAATCATCCACTTTTGGGGGAGGAAGTCACACTTATACAACAGAGGATATTCTTTAAATGTTGAGAGATTCACAGAAGGCTGAGAAACAACATTTTAATAGATGAAATAAATACTCCAGTACATGCAAGATTTTAAAAAAAAAAAACACTGAAAAAAATTAATAATTAAAAACCAAAATCACTCATGTTATAGTGTAATTTACCCAATCCCTATTTTAACACACTCACAGTAGCTCCCCCATTGGAAAATGACACCCAGCCTCATTGCTTTCCCTGCAAATGCACTTCTAACCCATCACTCGATTCAAAAGTAACCCATACAAATCAAAACAAAAGTCGTAGCTACACTCATTCTTAAAAGTTTTCTTTCTTCCAGAGTGTATGAAAACTGAGGTAACTTTTTTTTTTCATTTTTCTTCTTCCTGCTCAACTAAACAAAATAAAATCTAGGAGATTTTGGTAGAACCACCCTCCCATCTCCTAACATTTTAAAAATCGCATCCAGCACGATTAAAGCTTGGACCCCCCCATCAGCACACCTTTCCTAGGACCGCTGTAAGCCCTGCTTGGTCACAGGCTTCAATAAAAGAAAGAAGCAATGAAGCACAATCAGCTTGGAGGCAGCCTTAGGAATAATTGCAAAGTTACGAGCCTGGGCAAGGTCCTAGGAGCCTGCTGGCAGCCAGCAATAGAAGAACAGAGAATTTAAATCATTTTGCACAAGGCCTGCAAAAGAGGAGAGCCTTGTCCTCCAAGAACTGACCTTGATTTTGGACCAAGCAAAAGGAAATGCAGTTGCTCGCTTGCCTGAACAGAATTCTACCTGCCTCAGGCCACTGCAAGCCACCTACAGTTCCATGCTTAAATGTAAGGCTGCTTGGATGATTTACAGATTTGGAGGGGAGGGGATGTGCGTCCCGTTCCCTCCCCAGATAACAGACATCCATGCTGATTATGACATGTAAGCTAAAAAAGCATGGTTTCACTGCCTCCTCACACTATTATTTTAGCAATAATAAGAAGAATTAAAGGACTGCGCTACACAAATTCTTTGGTATACGAAAAGAAAAATCTGGGGCAGAAAAGGGATTCTCTGTTGAGAGGCGGCCATGCAATCTAAAACTGAATAGATTAATTCACAGAATTTGCATTTGCTGGCGGTAAGGTCCGGGGTGAGGAGCGTTCCCTTAGGGCCTGAGATAACAGGTTGCAGCCGTCGGAGACCGCACACGCCGAGTTCCTCAACCTTTCCCTATATTCAGTCATCTTGGCGCTACTGTCGTTGTGTTGGGCTATATCCCTGAGGCATTGAGTAAGGAGCACGCAAGCCGAGACGACACTCATTGCACCGCCCAAAATGGCCGTCTGGACAGATTTGCCCTCTGGGTTGATGGTGGCCGCTCTGCCCAAAAACTGAGGCTCTGTGGCAAAGCCCACCAATGCACACACAGACTGCACCAAAGGTCCACTAAACAAGACGCACCGGTTGCGTGTCAGCTCGCTGGGGGACGTCTTGACCTCCCGGACGCAGGCCAGGAGAGCAGAGGCGCTGGTGCTCATGCATTTGACGCTAAGTTTGAACTGCTCCTTGGCAAATCTATCCTTGGACTTCTCGCTGGCCAGGACGCAGGCGTCGGTCAGGAACTTCAAGTTCTTGGACATGTTCTGGGAGACCTCCAAAAGGAGCTGAGGGCTTAGGTCAGCGAGAGGGGTGGCCTTCAAGATCCCACACCCATGCTCCACCTCGTGCTTACATCGGGTCACCTTGTAGCGATCCACCAAGCCGGGTGAAGCCGGCTGAGCCCCTGGCATCTCCACCGCCGCCAGGTAAGCAGCGTGGGCCGAGCACTCTGTCAAAGAGACCACCAAATCCCCCATCTCCCCCAGGATGTCCCCCACTTCGGTGAAACGGCCCATATTGAGTTGGCTCTGGACGTCATGGGTCAAAATGGAGAGGCCTTTGGTCCTGGCGATGATGGTGTCCCTGCACTTTTCAAAGGATTCTCCGAAGACAGACAAGCTCTCTGTATGGACGGGCCGGCTGTCACTGGAGAGCAGGAGCAGATCCGCTACCAGCTGCATCTTGATCTTGCAGAGGTCACAGGTGGCCACGAGCTTCTTCCTTGGCAAAGAGCTGCCGCTGGGGGTGGATGTCTCAGTAGTGGACTTGCCAGAGCTGCCGCTAGCCATGGTGCCGGAGGGGCACACGCATGCCTCTGGGGACCCCACTACTGCCACCACTCCGCTTCCAGCTGCCTCCCGAGGAGTCCCCGCTGAGCCCGGCAGGATCGCTCTGCCCTTTCCGCACCATCATTCCATTAATCTGCACAAAATAAACCAGAGTCTCGGAGCACCAGAGGGAGAGAAAGGGGCTGGCGGACCCACCACCAAGTCGGAAGCAAGCAGGGCAGCAGCGGCCAGTGTCCCTCCACCTTCTCCAGAAAGGGCTGCCACTCCAGACACAGGTCACAACACCCAGCCTGGGGATGAAAAACGCTGCGGTGGTCGCCACTGGCTCATGGGACCCTCAAACCCTCGGTTCTTTGAGGGCATCTTCGCGGCTCTGGCTGACTTTTCTTTCGGAGAGAGGCCAGGAAAAAATCCAGCCGCCGCTGCGACGCAGACCTACCAATACAAAGAGCAACGTTAAAACTTCCCGGCTGGCTGGGTGGCTTCATTCGGCCAGGTCTCAGCCAGGCGGCGACCCCCCGACAGAATTCACGCCTTTCCAAGGGAAGCTGGCTCCGCGGGGCAGTCAAAGCCCTCCGCGGGCGGAAAGCGGGCGGGCACAGGTCTTCCTCTCCCCGCTATCAGGAAGAGCAGGCGAGGGTGTGGCCCGGCTCAGCTTGAGCAGCAGCAGCAGCAGCAACGGCAGCGGGCGGAGAGCGAGGGAGGGGAGGGGAGAGCCGGCTGGGCTCGTCAAAGAAGCGTTTTTACGCGCTTACCTCCGGAGCAAAGGAGGACACGGGCGTCCGGGGGAAGGACCGGCGGGGCGGGCGAGGCAGCGTCTCTTGCTCGGCGGCCCCCTTCCTTCTTTCCTTCCTTCGCCGGCCCGGAATCCTCTGGGCCGTTTCTCTCCTCTTTTGCCCCGATCACGCCACCCACTTGGCTCCCCCGTTTCCGGGAAGACGCATCTCCGGCGGCCTTCAAGGCGTTGGCGCATCCGCTCGGCGGGCGGAGAAGTTCGGCCTCGCGTCCCCCGGTCAGGTGGAGGGTTGCTCGGAGAGTCCCGGGGGACGGGATCCTCGCCGGCTTCGGCCCCCTCCTCCGGCCATGGCTAGCTTTTCTTCCCCCGACTTCCAGAAGGGTGGAGGACTCCGAGGCCGGAAAGCAACACTTCCTATCTGCGGGGAGGAGCTGGGGGGTTTTGGGGGGGGGCGCCTCCTGACTTCCCAACTTTTTTTTAAAAAAAAAAAAAGTGGGGGAGGGATGCCTGCTAAGCGGCGCCCGCCTCTGCGGTGGCTTCCACCGCCCGGCCGGGATGGCTTGGCTGCTGCATGGCTGGGAAGGGCGGGCGGCCGTGCGCCTTAGCCGACGCGCCTGCTTGCTTGCTTGCCTCCCTCCCTCCCCTCCTTCCACCGCCGCCCTTTTCCCTCCCGTTGCCTCCGCTGCAACCTCGCCTTAAGCCTATAGCAATCTTTTGTGCGGCTTGTCGCCGCCCTTCCTTTTAAATGCCCACGCCCGCTGCTTACGGAAAACTCCTCCCCGGTGGAAGAAAGGAGAGGAAAGGCGGGGCGGCGGTAGCAGCGCCGCCGGGCTCCAGCTTCGCGTCGGCTGCTGCGCTCCCGGGTTGGGTTCGGGTCTGCGCAAAGCTCGCCTTGGGCTTCTGCTACTACCCGCCCTTGACACACAGTCGTCTTCGGGCGCCTGTCCAGCTTGATCTAAATTGTGCATTCATTCAGGGCGAAGTCCTTCCCTTTAAAAAAAAAAAAGAAAGAAAAAAGTTATGACTACATTAACCTGAACGGAAGGTCAATTCCACCCCCCCCCCTCCGCCGCCCCAGCTATCTTTAAAACGGGAGTTCTACCCTGGAGGACTTTAAAGTAGGATAACGCACGTGGCTGGGAGGGCCTGCGCTTCGTTTCGTTTTTCTTTCTTGGGAGGCGGCTTTCAAATCGAGGCCATCCATTATTAGTCATAATAATCCCCAACTCCATTAGCTGTGCAGACCTGGCCATCTACGGAGACGCTGGCAACCTTGGCGACGTCTACGATGCTAACGGAGTTTTCCCCCAAGCCAGCTGTTTTGTTTTGATTTTCCCCCCCTCCCCTTCAAGCTGGAAAAATAAGGGGGGGGGCGCAGGGAGGAAAGAAATAATAACAATGCAAACTAATGAGGTCAGCCCATTGGTCTTGCAAGCTGATTGGGTCGCGGTTTTGTTCCTGTCGGCCAATTAGGAAACAGCACAATTTAAAAAAAAAGAAAAAAGACCTGAGCTCTCTTTCATTATTGGATCCGTTCCCGATGTTTAAAAGAAGGGGGGAAAGTGTGCATTAAAACCGTTAAAACAATAGGTCGTAAAATGAGTGCCCCGTGTGTAACACCTCCGCGACCGCATCAAGGTCCGGGAGAGGCTGCAGGCTGGTTTTCATCCTGCAGCTGGTTTGGGAAAAGCATTTCTGACAACTGATTGGCTGGATTCAGAGGCAACACAGAAGATAAAAGGACTGGCTGCAAGTAGTTTGTTGGTCTGCAATGTATGGAGCAAATTCTGCCTAGGGCAGTGGTGGCGAACCTATGGCACGGGTGCCAAAGGTGGCATTCAGAGCCTTCTCTGTGGGCACGCGTGCTGTCGCCCCAGTCCTAGGCCTTCAGCTGGGTTTTATAAAATCTTTTCGCTTTAGGCCTCCGCCGCCGTGTGCAAAAAAAAAAAAAAAGTTAATCAATTTCAACTTCTCACGGGAAAAAAAAGATCTTGCAAAGTTGGAATTGATTGAACTTCTTAGTCCCACCCAGTCTGCCGTTACCACTGCAGCCACGCCCACCCAATGGGCCACACCCACTTGGCACCCGACAATGCGTAAGTGGGTTTTGGGTTGCAGTTTGGGCACTCGGTCTCTAAAAGGTTCGCCATCACTGGCCTAGGGTATAGGCTTCATTTATGGATTGTTTTTGTGCATGCAAACACCCAGGAAGTTGTGTTAACTGCAGTGACAATCTTGCTCTCTTCTCCTTCCTCACAATCTAGACTGGCACGTCTCAGCAAGCCATGGTGGGCATTCCTTTTGATTTAGCTTGTGTCAGCCTACCGTACTGTTTTATATTTGCTGGTGTTTACTTCAAGCATGAGCAAGTTGTGTAAACAGAAGATTGTACAGTTAAGCCGCTGAATTCAATCCTATAGTCTTTCTGAATGAAAATCAAAGCACCCCTAACAGATGACTGAATCTTGTCTGGTGGAAATAAATCCATTGCTTTTCCTGTTCATATATTGTACAAGCCATGGATCATCTTTGTTTTGTAAATAAACTGTAATCTGAACCTACCCACCTTTGGTTTGCAAATTATGTGGCTCAGGTACCCCATAGCGTACTAATTCACAAAGGTGGGTAGGTTCACCTCCATCCAAAATGAACCACGCTATGATTTTTGGTACCTATATCCACCCATCCCAGATTATAGAAAACTCATGATTTCTTTTCTTCTTAAAAATCTGATCAGAATTGTACACCAAAATGAATAAATAGGCTTTGCCTACAGACTCTAAGAGATTCTCTGGCTTTGGGGGTTTCAGAAACCTACCCACATTTTTGTAGATAAAAGTAGATCTTAATTAGAGTTGATAACAAACCGCATGAAATGGTGGCATTATTTGAATTTGCACTATTGAGAGAGATTACTATGGAAAATAGGGCAGCTGGTTACAGCCTGACAGAAACAGGCCATGAAAAACTTTAGACATATTTTTATAAATTCATTAATGTAACAGCAAAACATTTCACAGAACATACCTACAACTGAAGTTCATCTTTTTCTTTTTCACAGAGTAGCTTCTAGTTTCTAGAGTAGTTCTAGAAAGCAAAATAAAGACAAGATCTAAATATCACTCCCATCTCTTCTAGTTAAACAGAATTCAGAAAGACTTAAATAATTCAAATTATTATATATACTGTATAAAGCTTTCTCCTGTATTCTGCTGTACTTCTTCAAAATGAGCCTTTGCTTTTCTCTCTCTTGAGCTTTCCCTGAAAGGATTCCCTTCCTTTTCTTTGTTTTGCGCACATTTAAAAAAAAAATATCACCCTATTTATCAGATCACATTGTATTGCATGCGGATTAGTGTCCCAAACTCCAACGCATTAGCCTTACACTGGATTTTGACTTGCATTAATGCTACCTGATATCAAGGTAGGAGTCATACTAAATATCTCATTAATCAAACTTGCAACCAATGGTGCACATTCTCCAGGGCTAAAGGGAGCTTCCTGCTTGAAGGGAAATCAAAATATTGATTCTGCAAATGAATGAAATGCTGATCAGAAACTCTCTGGTTGCACATGAAATTTGAGCGATCAAGAACTGTCAGGCTAATAAAAGTGACAACTGCTTTGTGAGTTTGCAGAAGGCAACTATTACATTTGGGAGACCTCTGTGAAAATCTTTCCATACATTTCAGGAAATATAGATTGGGTCAGGAAATACAGATTGGTTGCTTCTGCCACAGCTGGGCAACATACGGGTTTGGTTATACACAATGCAAGTCAGGAAGGGTGGGAGCCGACTTAATTTCTGCGCAAATGTTGTGAACTCCTTTGATGTTAACAAAAACAGGCCCAGAAGGGAGTCTCCCATTCCTGTTCCCCATTTAAACAAAACCAAAAACCAAACAACCGCACTGTTACTCTGATATGAATGCCCTTTTTAAAGTATTCTAAGACCAGCAAAGTAATCTAAAAACATTGCCTGGCATCTGTGATTAAAAAGATGATGAAAATATTTATCTATAAAAATATAAATTATTTATTTATTTGTATTCTGTCAGAGAATTGAGCAGCAGCTATCCAGGTAAAGTCAGAGTCACTAATAGGAACTTGTAGTCTTTTAAATATATACATTTATTTATTGCTCAACATTGCTGCAGAAAGAGCAAATGCTAGATAGGGACACAGGAACATCATGAGGTAAATCAAACACAGAGAAGAAAAAGGCGGGAAAAACGGGAAACTCCCCCGTAACCAATCAGAGCATAGATTGCCTCATGCATGAGTCAGCACTCCCTCATTAATCAACTACAACTGTGTATTCTGGTCTATTGCACACTTTGCTGTTCCAGCTACTACTGTTATTAACAGAGTATCTGTTATTAAAAGATTGTGAAAATAAATATATATTTATCTATAAAAACATAAATTATTTGCCTATTTAGTTGTATTCCACTTAAGGTGGCAAACATATCCACCACACCTTCCTCCTCCTATTTTTCCCCACAACAACCTTGTGAGGTGGGTTGGGCTAAGAGAGAGTGAGTGGTCACCCGAGCTGGCTTTCATGCTTAAGGTGGGATTAGAACTCAAAGTCTTCTAGTGATTGGCCCAAAGTCAGACAGCTGGCTTTCATGGCTAAGGCAGAACTTGAACTCATGGTCTCCCATTTTCTAACCTGGTGCCATATATATATATATATATATATATATATATATATATATATATACACGTGCAACATGCAACCAAGTCACTCTTTTAATTGCTGTATTAAAATGCTGCATGTTGCACACACACACACACACACACACACACACACACACAAAACAAATGGCTGTCCAGTCTCTTCTTAAAAACCTCCAGTGTTGGAGCATTCACAGCTTCTGGTGGCAGGTTGTTCCACTGATTAATTGTTCTGTCAGGAAATTTCTTAGTTCTAGGTTGCTTTTCTCTTTGATTAGTTTCATTGTTTCACTCATTGCAAGAGTGAAAAACGGTAATAAGTCATTTTTTTTCAGTGCTGTTGTAAGTTTGAACAGTCACTAAACAAACTGCTGTAAGTCAAGTTACACCTGTTTATGATAGTGGTTCTGTAGGGCTTTCCATCCAGAAAAGGCTACAATATGTTGCAAACTACTTGGAAAGTCAATCAATACAAAGACCAATAAAACAAACAAACATCTGCAATTGCCAAAGTGTAGCAAGCCAACTTCCTGATACTGTAACATGAAGATTGTGTTTACAAGAAAATAGCAGACTTCATCATTTATTTGGCAGTTCCCTTCTAAGCATGTGGATTCAGAAGTAAAACACCCACAGTACATGCCATGGAGCTTTCTCCCAAGGAAGTTTATACAAGGTTACAGCTTGGTATAACTGTGGATTGGGACTTTTTGCCTAGCCTGTAATGAAAACTGAATTCCTGCTTGCTTTTTTTAAAAAGAAGAAAACGAGAGCAAGAAAACGAGCATTTTTTTTTTACAATAACCAAAAATATCCCCCCGTTGGAATCCAAAGTAGTACAGTCCGCCTCCCGCCCCTTTCCTTCTGCCTCACTTACAAAGCTCCTCGTTTAAAAAAAACCCTGCTTGTCGCGCCCAGCTCCCCCCGATTTTTCCGGTTTGAGGCCTGCTGCGCCTGCGCAGGTCTCCCCGCCAGGTGGGCGGGCCAATCCCTGACTTCCTGCTCCGCTTCCCAGCGGCGGGAGAAGATGGCGGCGACCCGCTTGTGGCTGTGCCTGGCGGCGGTGGTGCTCTGCGCCTGCTTGGTGGCTGCGGAGGAGCCGAAGAAGAGCCCCGACAAGCCGGCGAAGAAGAAGAAAGACATTCGGGACTATAACGATGCCGACATGGCGCGGCTGTTGGAGCAATGGGAGGTATAGGCGAAGAGGTGGAGGAAGAAGAAGAGGGGGAAGAAGCTCCTTAGAAGCCCCCCACTGTCCGTCTCCCCTTTACTGCCCTCTCAGGAACGAGGCCCGGATTCCTTTGGTTCCACCAAGCAGCCTCGATCCTGGCTAGTGCAATAAGCCGCCATTGGCTAATGCAGATGACGTGTGTATCCTTAAGCCATGATTTGCAAAGCCCAGGGGTCCCTAAGGTGCTATTTTTTTCAGGAGGCAACTGGACTTCCTTTTTTCTCTTTTGAAGACGTTTTGCTTCTCAACCAAGAAGCTTCTTCGGTTCTGACCGGATGGTGGGGAATGGAGTCAGCGTGCAGTCAGAGCTGAAGAAGCTTCTTGGAGGAGAAGCGAGACGTCTTCAAAGAAATACAAAGTCCAACTTACCTTGTGGAAAAAGCACCTTTGGGACAAACATGGCCTGCATGACTGAGAATCTCCATAGACATAAAGCCCAGGGGTCATTTTGTCCAGTGTGGTAAGCCCAAACAAAAAACAACAACTCTGCATCTCAGACCATTCAGCAAAGCTAGTGTGGCACTATATCACACACACACACCCCGGGTGCTGCTAAACCATCCTGGATGTTGAGTGGATCTGGCCATTGTGGTCCTTTTGCACCCCATCACTTCAGGTTCTGCTTCACTGAGCGGGTGTGTGTGTGTGTGTGTGGTTTGAAAATGGGAGGGTGTGTTTAATAAATACATGCATTTTATGTATTTATTCAATTTGCCCATCTTGCTTGTGTGCCTCTGGGTGGCACACAGCCAATAGACAAAATGGAGTTGCTTGTTGAGATGGATGGCTATAGGAATCAAGTAAAATACAAAAGTCAATGTCAAGAATTAATACTTTCCACCTCTTTTGTCACCCTTCCAATGCTTCCATAGAAAACCATTCAAATTAAACATTAGAAATAATCGAAATATTTTAGAACTGGATAGCTTTTCCTGATCTGGTGCTGGGTTAAGCTCTATGTCTGGTTGGCTAAAGGTATGGGAAATTTTAACCCTGTACATTTGAAGGGAAGTTCGTTGGGGGAAGCTGGACTATGATGCAGTATAATTCTCACGATTGGCATTGTTTTGTTGGTTTTGCAGGGGTGATGTCATTGACTAACAAACTGAGTGTAAAGGATGCAAAAGGAATAAGTGGGTCTGGTTTTTTTTTTTCAGTAATGAGCTTATATCGCTTGGAGAGGATTAAGGCCTCTTTCTTTTCAAAGTCTTTTCAAGGCTCTTGTTTTGTTTCAAACACAGGAGGATGATGATATAGAAGAAGGAGATCTTCCTGAGCACAAGCGCCCATCTGCACCATTAGACTTCTCCAAGATTGATCCAGGAAAGCCTGAGAGCATTTTGAAAATGACCAAAAAGGGGAAAACTCTCATGATGTTTGTCACTGTGTCAGGAGAGCCAACGGAGAAGGAGACGGAGCAAATTACAAACCTGTGGCAAGGAAGCCTTTTCAATGCCAATTACGATGTACAGAGGTAAAAGCCTTTAGAGTTGTGTGATCACCCCACCCCCCCAGATTTCTTTTTGCTGGAGAAAAAAAAAGTGGGAATAGGTAGCACTCTCCTAGTTACAGCCGCAATTCCCTGTGTCTCATTGTAAACATGGGTCATCTTTAGTACTGGTTGCAATGCTCCGTGGTCATGTGACCATGATTTACAATGTTTTTTTGACAAGTTTCTGGCAAAAAAATGCCCTTAAGAATACATAGATTTACTTAATGACACCTGCAAAAATAGTTATAAAATCGAGTCTAGTCGTGTGAGTACCTTGACTTATGACAGAAATTTCAGACTCCATTATGGTTGTAAGTCACGGATTACTGAAATAAATTTAACCTGATTCCCATATTTTAAGAATTAATTTATTTGGGGAGGCAAAATCACTTTGCAGGTAAATGTAGTATTTTATCAACTGACCACTATACATTTGTGTATGTAGCTAGTTTTCCTCTTTTCAGTGTTTTTTCTCTGATCTAAATTGAAATCTGCATGCATTTTCTGGGGAGCAAACCTTGGTGCAAGGGTTGTGTACTTTTTTTGTTTCACTTTAACTGTGAAATGAATATATATTTTTACCTCTGGGAGAGGTCATACATTATATGCCCTACCTAGGCGGGGTTGATTGCAGTTGAATTTTAAACACTAATCCAATTTTGCCATAGGTCTGTTTTAGGTTATTCAGACAATACTATTTCCACACAGGTTTGATACAGATGTTTAGTATTTTACTTTGAAGTACCACAGGGTGTGTGTATGTGTGTAGTAGTAGTAGTAGTACTAAGTAGTAATAGTAGTAGCTTTTATGTCATCACATTACTGAAATAGCTTCTTATCTATCTCATTCCAAACTTGTATATAAGGCTCCATTTAAACCAGTGGAAAAAGTCTTAGAAAAGTAATAAAAGTATTGTATGCTATAATACATCCCAGTTTGAGCACCATTTACTTTTTTTTAAATGCAGGTGTGCCCGTTAATACTTGAATATCCAGATTCTGGATTTCTTTATTAATCATATTTATATGACCACCCATCTCACACAAAATAACTCTGGGTAGCATATAAAACCATATTTCTGGATTTCTGCCTCCTGAAACAAAGGAGTTTAGAAACGACTAACCGAATATCTTTTGAAATCTAGGTTCATTGTCGGTTCAAACCGCGCCATCTTTATGCTGCGTGATGGAAGCTATGCGTGGGAGGTCAAAGACTTTCTGGTAACTCAAGAGAGATGTGAAGATGTCACTTTGGAAGGTCAAGTCTACCCTGGTAAAGGAGGCGCAGGGAAAGAAAAAAATAAACTGAAACCTGACAAATCCTCCAAGAAAAAAGATGTAAAACCTGGAACCGTTACAGATAGCAACCATGCAAGCAGAGGAAAAGAAGATCTTTGATAAATGCACCGAAATGCTGTAAAAGAGATTTGGAACATTTCAGAAAGAGAAAAAGGTTTTGCAAGTTTCAAATTATTAAATGGTTAAGGGAGCAGCTTACTTACTGATGAGAGGCATTCATTGAGAAATAGCAGAGTTGGTGGTTAATGGCTGTGGGCTGCTTATATTCAATCAACCATTAAGCCTCCACTCCCTGTCAGTTTAGTATTATGGGCTGGGTCCAGGGGATGAGGGAGGTCTCCACTTGGAAAGCTGATTTTTCCATATGGTATTGCAGATGACTCAGAAGAATAGGGAGAAGGAAAAGCAAAACTTAGAAGCCGCCTGATTTCTCAATATTGTGATTAATCTGAATGAACAATACACTTTCATTGCGTCTTAAAATTTGTAACTTGAGATTTGTCACTGATTATACCAAAACAGATCTAAGTTGATTTGCTTTTAAGGTACTGATATTCCAGTATTCCACACCGAAATGGAAATAAAATTTTCTGTTAATTAGCTAATCACACTAAATCAATATACTTTTTGATAGTATAAAATGTGAAGAAGAATATCCACAGATACAGTCCAGTTGATTGCAAAAATAAGATGTGTGGGAATATAGTATGGTTTTTCTGTGGTAAATATATCCATGCAAATGGATATATATTACAGGTTGTGTTGTTTTCTCCTAAGATGTTAACAAAAAAAGTTCAAGTTTGTGGCCATTGTATCGGATTTCATTTGCTGTTACAGTTTTATATTCAGTGCCATGAAAAATGAGCAATACTTGGAACAGCCATGGTAGGTTTTTTTCTTTAAAAGATTTTTTTTAAAGGTAATTAAGGAAAAGTTGCTGTTTGTGTGAATGCTTCTTCCAAAACTTCAATAAATTTCTATAATTTTTTCATAAAAGATTGCTATTTGGAATCCTTTATCCATCCTTCCTTGTCTTACTCTGGTATCTGATTCAGCCCAGACTATCCACATGGTGGTGCTGTCTGTATGCCAAATAACAAAGGAAATGGCTTGTTTTGAAGTCTGGCTAGTGTAATGTGTAACTCTCTTCCAGAAGCTAAGCCTGTTTTAACAAATTGACATTTTACACACGAAGGTTGTTCTATAAAAGCTTTGCTGCTTTGAACTTTGGATGGCGATTGGAGTGATAATTTACTGTTTTTTCCTTGATGTTAAATTTATCTGCTTCTTCCCTCTATTTTCCCCCCTCTTGATTTTATTTTGAAAGAGTTTTTCTGGCATTCAGTTCGCAAGAACAAGGACAAATAGGTGCATTTCAAAACAGTTCAGTTGCCTTTTGAAGAAAAAAAAAACCTTTGAGACAGCTTGGAAATCTTGTTTACCAGCTTCCATTGAAGAAGAACACTAGAGAACAAGCATAAGATAGATGGAAGATTGCTGTATTAGCTTGGGTTGGCCCAGTTCGTCAGCCTGTGGTTGACTAAATCAAGTTCTCTCAGTTAACCCAGTTGTTTAGGCTTGCATAAGAGGCTGACGTACAAACCAGGATAGTACCATATTCTAGCAATGCCTGTTGTGCAAACCCAGCCACAGCTAGGATTTATGGAACGTCTCATTGTTAGGAAATAGAAGCTGCTTCTCAGCAATCTTTTAGCCGTTTTGTTTTCCAAAGTAATTTTTTCAATTAGGACCACAGATCAGGAAGATTGGGGTTTCTTTTGCTTATGTAGATTGCTTAAAATACCAAATGGAATCTTAACTGTTTGGGAATTGGGATGTAGAAGTGAGTCACATCTAAGTAAACAGTGAATAGAACGCCAGTTTACACAGAACAGAGTGAAGACTAGTTGTATTCCTTATTTTCACCAACTGCTTGGAAGGAGCTCCCAGAATGCAGCTTTTAATTATTTTATTTATTTTATTACATTTTTATGCCGCTCATCTCCCCTATATGGTGACTCTGGGTGGCTTTTTAAACTTGTCCTTCATTCAAACGGTGAGAAATGCTATTGATACTTTTGCTCTGGCATGTTGTTTTTTTTAAAAGTTTTAAAAGGGATGCTTCATATACATAGACCAAGCACAAAAAGTAAATCATTTTTTTACTCATAAGAGTAGAAAATGGGATGAAAGGTATCTTGGTAGTTTAGCGTAATAAAGTCACCAATTGTCAAATTGTGCTGAAATTTTTATTTCAATAAATTGGGTATTCCAAACCACAAAATGTTAAGTTGCAAGTGAAAACATTTGGAAACGAGAGGTGTATCGTATTAAAAAAAAAAGGATTTCTGTCAAAGAGACCGTATGTCACACCTGCAACCATTAAAAAAATTCAACTGCAAAGAGAGCACTCCTTACATTTTTTATTTTATTTTTTGGCAAAAACCCCTCCCACCTTCCCCCACTGTTGTATCATCTTTGCTCTCTTCGGTTATAACCCTTTTGTGCCTTTGCAATAAATAAATATATCATTCCCCCATCAAGATTATTATTATCATTTTTCTTTATAAAATATACAAAACGCTGTACATCTTGTTCCGAAAAAGGACCAGCTATTTCGGGTAAAAGATTTGAATTGACATACGGACAAAAACAAAAGATCGTGTAAAGCGGACTGTTAAATGTAGGTTGTTGAAACAAGTTGCTATGGATAATAACTTCGGAAAAGTCACGGTTCAAAGAACATAAATGGTCAGTTGGGTGTCGGAAACCTTAAAAGGCTCACTCTGGACTTACAGCCATTCCTTTAGTGACTGTTCGAAGTGACAACAGTGAAAAAAGTGACTTATGATCGTTTTTCACACTTAAGACCGTTGCAGTATCCCCAGGGTCATGTGATCAAAATTTGGATGCTTGGCAACTGATTTACACTTAAGATGGCTTGGGGTCGTGTGATTGTCTTTTATGCCCTGACAAGCAAAGTCAGATCCCCCTAACAATTGCAGTGATTCACTTAACAATTGCGGCAGGAAAGGTCGTAAAAGGGGGCAAAATTCACTTAACAAATGTCTCAGTTAGCAACAGAAATTTGGGACTCAATTGTAGTCTTGAGGACTGCCTGTAGAGAAGGGCACAAGCTGGACAGTCTTGATTGAAACTGTCCTTAATTACTATCATCATTGTACAATATTCCCCCGCTTAAGGGCTTTTGAGATTTTTACTTGCTGATCCAGGAATGTGGGCAGGGAACGTATACATAGCCCTGTTTGCCTATAGCTTAATATAGTTTCAGTTAGTATTAAATATGCGTACGAGGGAAGAAGTAACATCTTTCAGGCTAGGAAAAGGGTAGATATTCCTCTTTTTAGCCAAATATATCCTGTACGTTCAAAGTAATTGTTTCATGAACGATGACTTCCTATGACGGGATCTCCATGGTCTTGTCGTGTGAGATTCCCACCATCTCAGCAATAGCTTTAATGCAACTGGAAAGCTTAACACTATTCTAGCATTCGAGTGAGACAAGAAACAGTGCCTATAAAATTGCCCCTCTAGTTCACCCTGTGCAGTGCCCATTGACCAGTCTAGCCATACTGACCAGCTCTTGACATTTGGCAGTTCTTGCTAGCTGTGCATATTGACTTTAGCTTACACTTCCTTATTTACATAGCCAACAGTACCACGTAAAAGTGGAATTCATTTCCTGAGTCTGCATTTGAACATTCAAGACGAGTGAAAGGTTGAATTGGAGAAGAAGAAGAAGAAGAAACATCTTCTGCACGTCCAATGAATTCAGGACCACAGTGATCTACGAATCAACCAAGAGGTGGCCATGGTGCTTCACAGAATTGAGATGAGACAAGATGAGACCATTTAAAACAAAACAAACAAACAAACAAAAAAAAAACTGTTGCCCTGAACCTGCTGGCAGGACAGGGAATCTGTTAGTAACCAAACAGATCAAACCAACTGGACTCGTTTGATCAAGGAATGTTGGTTGTTCAAGGTGAAGGCTTATTTACAGTAACTTCTCTCTTATGTACAGCAACAAAATATATTACATCTTAGAAAAGCCGTCATTCCTCTCATCCTTTTTTCTTTGGAGGGTGTTTTCAAAGAGAGATGCTTCCTCAGAGTTTCATTTTCTTGACCACAGGAACGGGCAGCGCTTGAAAGATTCTCACGGCTTCTTCATTGGTCTCCAGCTTGATCCAGAAAGGCTGGAAGCTGCCCTTGTAGCCAACAAAAGCCATTTTATCTTTAAATAAATAAATAAATAAGAATTGTGCAGTGAGCAAAACTGATCTGGGACAATATTTATAATCAATACGCCGCAGAGAGTGTTTTTCAGCATCATCGGAGGCCGTTTCCATCAATGCCACATCTTAAACCAGCAGCATCTTTTCCTGAGAAGATGCATGTGGCTTTTGTCTTCCTTTACTCTATCAAGAACCTTTTGGAGATCATAACCAAAAGCATCAAATAGAAGAAGAATGGACTGATTGTTAATTTTTTTTTTCATATTGAAGATGGTCGATCCTTTCCATCTCCACACTTCTATTATACTATGAACAGATCTTTTCCCCCAGTTTAAATGATATTAGAATTTAAAAAAAAAAAGTGAGTGGGATAAATAGTAGCAAACCAGGAAGTGAACATGTTGCCATTCTGCATTTGGTGATACAGAATTTCTCGGAATGTTCTGAATATTGAAGAACCTGGTGTTCTTAAAAGTCTTTTCTCTCTCAGCTTACCACATTGGGATGTGTGGAATACTTGAAATCTCTCTCAAAGGCAGTTTACATTCAGTAAAAACATAATATTTCTAAGGGCTCTTCCATCCAAGTTTACTTTTCTGGTGCAGAAACTATACAATCTTTGCTGCTTGAGTACCTAGGATTTCTAGACTGATTGTATTTGAAGCACAGATGAATTTTATAACAAATATTCATCTTTTGGTGGGGCAGGACTGCCTTTGAGTCTGTCTTGATTCCTGGTGGCTGCCTGGATAAGTCCCTGGTAAGTTGCCAAGGTAAGTTTGTGGCAAAATTTCAAAAGTGGTTTGCCATTGTCTCCATGCTTGGGCTGAGAGAGACTGACTGGCCCAAGGTCATCCAGCTAGCTTCGTGCTAAAGATGGGACTAGACTTCACAGGCTGATTACTAGCCTGCTGCTTTCACCACTACACCAACCTGGCTTTCCATATTCACCACACTAAAAGAAATAACTGAATTTTTGGTTAGAAAAGGGAAAGATGAAAACTCTGTGTTATTGAAAGGCACTCTCCTTTTCCAAACTTCACTTACATTAAGCATTTCAACAGTTTACCAAAATGAAATATTTGGAGTACTTTCAGATGTAAAAAAAAAAAAACAAAAACAGATGGACAATTCTTAATGGTTTTACCATCTCTTTTTTCTCTACTAACCTTCTGTGTGAAAAGACACAGGGCACTAAAAAAAAATACAATCTGAAAAGACAAGAGCAGCCACAGGACAACAAAACTTGCTAGAAAAAGCGCTCTTCGCAAAGTCAGCCATAACAGAAGTCTAGCAAATTTCATACTATATTTTCTGATATTAATAAAGCATTACCTTTCAATTTAAAGCCTGGTTTTGCTCCAAGTGTCTCCAGGACTTTGGTCCATGGACTTTTTGAAACAAACCTTCCTTTTGAGGTCATCACCACTATAGAGCTAGAAGAAGGCAGAAAAATTACATGCATCATTTGATTGAATTGAGTTATTCACCAAAACTGATTAACTGAACAGCTGTCCTACAGTCATCATCATAAAAATCCACAGAATTTAACAGAGTCTTCCTTTCTCCAATCACCGAAAATTTGCTCAGTAAGCCTATTTAATCTGATCAATTTATTGCGGATATTCTTTTGATTGTTGATTATATGGATTAATAATTCTGGTGCTAGATGCAGGTCGCGTACTGCAATAGATGACTTTACAAGTATGACTTCTTTCTGAATCGTTGAAAGCCTTTGTTTCCAATTAACTTACTTGTTTTGAATGTTGTTGACATAATTGATGATCTGAGCTGGGATTCCTTGCAGAATAATATTTTTGAAACTCTTCCGGTCAACAACTTTCCCCTCGTGACCGTCAATCACTACTACTTGAATGCCCTCTTCAGAAAGATAGAATGACTTGCCATCAACCTACAGAAAAGGAAAAAGCGATCATTAATATCCTCCAAGAATGGAGGTTTGGAAACAAATGGTTGCTTGTTCTGAACGTTTTCTTTGATGCTTCCTTTTGGGTTTATGTGGATTGCGTACAGAGTTCTAAATTGAACCCAAGACAAACATCCTTGTATAAAAATAAACTGGCAAGTTAATAAGCATTTTTTTAAAAAAAATGGGGAGCAATCACTTACTGAGATGTAGGCAAAGTCATCCTTGAGATGATAATATTTGGTTTTGTAGCTGTCTATCTTCAGTTCTACAAAGTGATCCTTCTTGTTCTATTTGATTTTAAAAAGAAAGAAAATGGCGTTTACATCTGATCTTCAAGGAGTTTCTAAATCAACTTGGAATATTGGAATCAGAGCTGCACAATTTATGGCCTTATTCTGAAGGCATCACAGGCAAGACTCTTTTGCTTTCCTTCTGTGGTATAAAATTAGAAACTTTAACCTGGGTGGAAGATGATATAATAGACTGAAAAATGTTATTAACACTACAAAACTAAAGCTAAACAAGAGAAAATCCTCTTGACTTAGATGATCCAGGACTGGACTTTGGTTCTATAACTGTATTCACATGTTATGCTGAACCACAAACTGGTTATATGGTTTCAGCCTGCATGGTTAGTTCCTGAGTCAGTGACTTGGGTGGACTGGAACATTTTATTAATTGAGCAAACAAGTATTAAATTAACCATGGCTAAAGGATATTGAGTAAATACAGAATATGTCAGATAGGATCTCCTGTCAGTAAACCTCCTCTCTGCCAACATATGAAAAAAGTTTCTCTACTGAAGCCAACACTAAGAGAGACTCAAACTCAGACCTCTAGACTTAACATATTCTGAAGCTTTCACTAGAGCAGGGGTCTTCAAGCTTGGCCCTTTTATGATTTGTGGACTTCAACTCCCAGAATTCTTCAGCCAGTGTGTCTGAATGAAGAATTCTGGAAGTTGAAGTCCACAAGTCATGTGGAATGATGAACAATCATTAGAATAATGATGTATCTGCATAATTACTGGAATAGTGCTGTGTTAGCAGTATGTGACTAACCTAATGCGCATTGCACTTGGATACAATGTATGTAGCAAACTCTCCATTGTATACCCGTGAGAAACGGACCTAATGTATTACAATGTGTATTTCAATGTGTATTCCTTTGTTCCTGAGAGAAAAAAAGGAAAGTATAAAACTGAAGTCTGAACCCGCCCTTGGGGTTCAGAATTGCTTGTTGCTATTGCTTCTGAACCTGTGCAATAAATCTCTCTGCTAAAACCCTCTGGAATTCGTAAGAGTCCTCTCATTTTCCACAAGAATAAAAGGGCCAAACTTGAAGACCCCGGAACTAGAGTCAAAACAAAGCCTTGAAAATCCAGGAGAGATATTCCTCTAAGGAAATTACACAAATAAATAAGTAAATCAGTGTACCATGTGTGCACTGGGCAGTTTTTTGGGCATTGGCACGTCCACTGTCGGCTTCTCAGCATATTTTGGATAAGCTAAAACTTCACAGTCACTGGTACCAGTTTGCTTAGGGATATTGGCTTTGATCCTGATCCGTTCACAGCCTCGGATGGAACAGAAAGCAAAGGGCTCCTTCTCGTGCTGAGCTTTCAGTTTGAGAAATAACAACCTATTAAAAGAAAAAAAAAGGAAGAAGGCGAGAGTTGAAGAGCCATGATTAAGGGCGTGATATAGTCATAATAATCGAAATAGGACACAACTCTTCCTGCCAGTGGCCAAGATGTATCTCCACAGGGACTGTCCAGTGGAGATGCATACCTTTTTTCCTTCTATTTCAGGGGTTCTCAACCTTGGCAACTTTAAGACTTGTGAACTTCAACTCCCAGAATTCCTCAGCCAGCTTTGCTGGCTGAGGAATTCTGGGAGTTGAAGTTCACAAGTCTTAAAGCTGCCAAGGTTGAGAACCTCTGTTCTACCTGAAGCCGTATCCATAAGGGTTAGGATGGATTCTTTCCATTGGGGCAGGAGGGACTGCAAGGGAGAGGCCTCTAAGATTTTAAACCAAACACTCTTCCTGTTTGTGCGTGTTCCTGTTCTCTTTTAGATGGCAAAGAACAACTCTGGAAAAGTGTGAAAAAACAGCTCTCTCCGTGCTCTCATGAACATTTTTTCAAAGCCAATGAAGGTAGATGCAATTAATGTATTGTCCTGTGGAATGAAGTGGTTAAGACTGCTGTGTGACAAAGCTGCAAGGCCACGTGTGATATTGTTTTTCTTGTTGAGGATGTTCCCATCAAAACAAAAAAGAAATCATAAGGATGGCTTAGGTTGTCATGCACTCAAATGCAATCAGAAATATCTCTTCCTATCCCAAGCCCAGGAAAATTTGAGAATACTTGTTAATTCCTTACCCAGTGTCTTCATCCCAGTAGTAATAGCCTTTGGTAGGATATCGATATTCAAGTCTGTCCATTTGAAAAGCTGGATAGAACACCCCAGTTTTGTAGGTTTTCTTCAAAAGGCGATTGTGAATATCTGAGAGAATGGAAAATGTTGTCCCTTTAGGATAACAAAATCCAACTTGGATCCAGTCATTCCTAAATAAAGGAAAGGAAAATAAGCATTACTAAAAACAAAAAGCTCAACCCCAAATCTCATGACTATGACTTTTCTGGAACATGCCACAAGCCAAGTCAAATATTTAGCTTTTTAAAAAAGTGATTTTTTCCATGCTGGCTTAAATACTTAGATGCCGGTGCTTAACTAGTTCCAAAATGATTTAAAGATCCATTAAAGTCATATGGAACAATTCTCCAGTGGTAGGTCTTTGGCTCTGAGTAAAGAAGAAGATTGACCCATTTTGTGTATTAAATCATTAAATTGTGACTGCTTTGCCTCTCTTCTGCAAGAACTTAGAATACTGAGGTGAAAAGAGGGTGAAATTGAGAATGAAATTTTTGAAATTACGACGTCAGAGCTAGAAAATGATAATGTGTTGTGTTTCCTTAGATCAGTGGTTCTCCACCTGTGGGTCGGGACCCCATTTGGGGTCGAACGACCATTTCACGGGGGTCGCCAAACAACGCAGTCCGCCATTTCCCCCCCCCTTTTCCTTAGCTGTGCTACTCCCTTTTATTCTATTGGCTTTTGAAAGCCAATAGAATAGACTCTCTTGAATAGAGTCTAATTCCATTGGCTTTCAAAAGCCAATAGGAATTGTCCAGGCTGTCTCTGCCCTGCTGAGCCCGCCAAAAGTCCCATTCTGCAAACGGTGCTGCACCAGTTGAGTAGTCCTCGACTTACGACCGGTTGGGGGTCGCGGCATTAAAAAGGTTGAGAACCACTGCCTTAGATCACGGGTCCTGAACCTTCAGGGCTGCAGCCCCCTACTGGACCGTAGAAACAGTTGGCAAGTGTGTGCCCACATGCAGCTTTACTCGCACCCACAGTGGGCAGGTGAGGATGTGCGTGCAGCTCCCTTTGTGCGAGTGGCGCCACTTACACAAATGAAGCTGCATGCACACACACTCCATCCGCACTTGCGCAGAACCTTCTCTTCTTCCCAACGGTCCACAAAGCCAGAAATGTTGGAGGCCACTGCCCTAAAGGATGGGCATTAAAAATTCAGAAAGATTTTTTTTCAGGGCTTGCATGCTCACTTATTGAAATTGATGAGCCAGATAGCTAATTCCTCAGGAGCTCCCTTGTCCCAATGGATGGTGTAGCCTTTCTGCAGAGTGATCACAGGCTGGTATTGTTGGTAATGGGTACTTTTGCTCAGAGCGCCTTCTAAATACAAGGGGTGTGTGTAGAAGTCATTTTTGATGATTTTCATCTTCAGATTGGATGATTTATATGCTTGGATGTACACCTGTTCAGGAAAGAAAAGAGAAAGCCCTTTATAGCATATTTACTTATAGTATATTTAATTAGTATGGCATGGTAATTCTGCCAACGGCCAGCAGTTCGATCCTGACCAGCTCAAGGTTGACTCAGCCTACCATCCTTACGAGGTGAGTAAAATGAGGAACCAGATTGTTGGGGGCAAGAGGCTGACCCTGTAAACTGCTTAGAGAGGGCTATAAAGCACTATGAAGCGGTACATAGATCTAAATGCTATTGCTATTTATTCCCAGGGTTTTTAAATTCCTGCCTTCAATAAGGACTTTCTGTCCATCTCTATCTTTCAGGCCAATGGCATTTTTTTTTTTTTCTTTTTAAGCTATTTAAATCTTTCATGTTGCGTGAAATTTGGCTTCCCATTTAGCTATCAGTGCATGGAAGAAACGAAGCCTCATAGAAGGCTATAATTGAGTATACTGTTGTTTTTTTAACTTCTAGGAATGGGGCTTGGTGGAAAAAGCTTCATTTTACTAGTTCTGTTATATGTTGGGGTTCCTATTAGATTGCAAATAGCCCATAAATTCAATTTTCACCCTGTCCTAGGCATGGCAGGGAACTGAGAAACCAACAGCTCTCCAAATCTGTTGCGCCCACCACCATCCTTACTACCTGTGCGTAACGTCCACTACAGATGGATCCTCTCCAGTCTGGAACTTCGATGCAGTCTCGATGTTTAATGAGCCAATTGTCCTCCTTGATAAGGTATGACCCAGGATATTCTGACACGGAGCCATCGACATCATGGAAAACTGATGTTTTATCGCCATCCATGTCTAACCCATTGAACCAAGGTCCAGGCTCCCCAAAGAATACTCTAGAGGAAATCTACAAGTGAGGACAGAGACCTACGGCTTAGTAAATATTTGAGGAGGCACACAACATGCTCCTCACATGATGACCTCTGAATATATATGTTCATGGTTCTTCTCCCAATAATGGAATAGATGTTCATCACTTTTTATTTAGACAGACATTTTAATTGAAAAGTGTGATCATGTGACCCTGGGATGCCAAGGGCCATTTTGATCATGTGACCATGGCGACGTTGCAATGCCTGCGTGAGGACCAATCATAAATCACTTTTTTCAGTACCATTTTAATTTTGAACGGTCACCAGATGAACGGGTATAAGTTGAAGACAAAGATAAATCCCTAAAATGGGATTATGATGGCATCAACAGCAAAATCACTGTAAACATAGCCAAAACCAACGTGTAGATCCTTTATTTGAAGCTAAATCCAAACTCAGCTCAACGCACCAATGGCAAATGTACAGGGAAGAAATTCTGTCATTGGGGCAGAATTTCTTTTGCAAATTCTGCTGGAACTCAACTCTGCCTCCAAGATTTGTTCTTGGCACAATCAATCTACCCTGAAGACAAACTCACCGGGACATCTTCGAAGAACAAATTTGTGACGTTGTTGTTAGGACAACTTTGCCAGGCATTGTTCAGGCGGAAAGCCAGAGCACTGGTATGTCGGCCTTCTAGTGCAGCAAATTTTCGGAAAGTGCAATTCTGAACATTGATTGGCCCATCATAAAACTGAATGCCTCTGATTGGGAAGTTCCTGAAATGCATTGATGAAAGATGTGCATTAGGTTCTAAGGGATTGCCAAAAAGCACAAGTGCACTGATGTAAAAAAGATGTTGAGACTCTAGAAAGAGTAGAGAGAGGAGCAACAAAGAGGATCAGGGGACTGGAGGCTAAAACATATAAGGAACGGTTGCTGAAATTGTGTATGTCCAGTTTAATGAAGAGAAGGGCTAAGGGGGACAGGATAGCAGTGTTCCAATATCTCAGGGGCTGCCCCAAAGAAGAGGGAGTCAAGCTATTCTCCAAAGTGCCTGAAGGCAGGACAAGAAGCAATGGATGGAAACTCATCAAGGAGGGAAGCAACCTAGAACAATGAGAAATTTCCTGACAGTCGGAACAATTAACCAATGGAACATCCTGCCTCCAGAAGTGGTGAATGCTCCAACACTGGAAGACTGGACAGCCATTTGTCCGAAATGGTATAGGGTTTCCTGCCTGAGCAGGGGGTTGGACTAGATTACCTCCAAGGTCCCTCCCAACTTTTTTTTATTATTATTATTATTATTATTATTATTATTATTATTATTATTATTATTATTATTATATCATATCGGAATCTCAAGTGTGTTATCAGTAGCTGTTCATTGTAGAAGAGCAGAACAAGGATATGTCTTTTTTCACTTAGGGTCTTTTCAGTGGCAGGTTTAGAAAGAAAGAATAGAATTAAATTCTATACTGGTTTGGAAACCTGAACCCAACAAGAAAATTTTCAGAGAGAAACTCACTGGCCAATGGGCAAAGTCCGTCCACCGTGGTCTAATCCTCCAGGTCCCCAGATGTTGTTGTCCATTGTTTCGGTCCCTGTATTTCCACTTTCACCAACAAAAAGGCTATTTTTAATTTCTTGTTTTGATCCGTCATCGTGTGGGAAAGTTCCACCACTAGGAGAGATCAAAATGGCTGGTCAGCCTAGCTTCTTGGGCCAACTCCTGCTTTTCTATAACTGCAAGAGGCGAAAAACTCTGAACAGGAACCAAGAATGCTTACCTAGCCAAAGTGAGGCCAATGCCGTTGTCAGCAAATCTACAAAAAAGAGAGAGCATTCCTGAGTTAATCTGGAGAACTGGATTCCTGTCTGTGCTTAATGACATTATTAGTTAAGCTATTCAGTTTGCTTGGTTCTCAATAACATTCCCCCATTGTTGCAGTGAAAAAAACCCCATGATTTCTTAAACAGGCTTCTTTGAATATTCAAGGGTGCGGAAGGAAAATTCATTATAAAGAGGGTTTACAATCTGAATCTATGCTTCTCCCAATATGGTGCTACATTATGAAGCATCAAGGTGTAAACAAGACCACTATTTCTTTCACTGCACTTCTCAACCAGTATTAAACATAACAGGAGCTGTAAATCTTAGAGCAGAAGCCTATTCACCCATTCAACCTTTTCACCCATTGTACCACTTTTAGAATATGGCAACAGCCGAGGACCACCAGTCATCTAGCAAGGTGTCAAAAACTTGATGATCAAAAAAAAAAAAAAAAAAAAGGAAAAAAGTGATAAAGTACAGGTAGTCTTCGACTTACAACAGTTTGCTTAGTGACTTTTAGAAGTTACAATGGCACTGAAAAAAGTGCTCCCTAAGGCACAGCAGAGCAAGACACCTGCCTGCCCGCCCAGCAGCGCTCTTCCTCCTGTCTGAGGTTTTCATTGTTATGAGCATTTCTGTTGAGGATTGGCAGCAGGGGTGGGGTGGGGGGTGTTTGGTCTTTATTCCCCCATCTGCTGGGTGGTTGCAGAAGGTTTTGGTCACTTCACATGACCCTGGGACACTGTTACCATCATAAATATGAATCAGTTGCCAAGCATCTGAATGTGAATCACAAAACCCTGGAGATGCTACAACATTCCAGCCGATTGGTGCTTCTTCAGGGCTCAGCAGAAGCACCAGGATCAGCGCCGAGCTCCAGCTGGAGCCTGGTGCTGATCCTAGTGCTTCCACTGAGCCCTGACAGCCCTGCAGCTCCAGCCATCTCTCGCTCAGGCTTGTGCAGTGCTGCCACCGGTTCAGCTCATTCCCCTCCTCCACTACCACTTTTCTAGGATGGTTGCGTACCACCTGCCAGGTGCCAATGTACCACAGGTGGTACCCGTACCACTGGTTGAAAAACCCTGTCTTAGAGAACTCAATAAAAATATTCCTTTAATTTGAATTTTGCAATTCACCTACCCCCAGATCATTTTGATGAAATCTTTCTGTTGGACCTTCATAACCAGTTCTTTATATTCTTGCAAAATTGTGGCTCTGATTCTCATGTCATTTATTCTGAAGTCACCCCATAAAGTTGAATGACAATTACAGAGCATGAAGTACAATGAAGTTTCCTTCAAGGCAAGGTTCACACCTGGTGACTGCCTAGCCCTAGACAAGTCTCTACTGTTTTCTTGACAAGATTTCAGAAGCCATTGCTTTCTTCCTAGGGCTGAGCAAGAGTGACTGGCTCAATGTCACCCACCTGGTTTTTCTTCCTAAAGTGGGACTAGAATTCATGGTCTCGCAGTTACGAGCCCAGCACCTTAATCACTACACCAAAATGGCACTTGACAGTCTAACTTAGCTGCAGGATTTCCCAGTGTCTCCATCTATGTACTTATTCAGGTTCAATCCTGCTTATTTTTTAGACCAGAAAGTGGGTCTAAATTTAATTTTAAGGGGGAAAAAATTATGGGATAGAAAGATGGGGGAACCCCCTAAAATTATTAAATTAAATTAAATTAAAATCGCTGCCTTAAAAGAGCAAGCAAGTGATGTTCCTGCTCTAAAGCAAATTACTCTTGCTTTCCATGAAAAATCATGTCAATTGCAATATACTTTAGCATACACAGTGTTGCTCTGGTATAGTAACAAATATTAAAAACAGCTAGATCCCTACAGCTATAAAAATACCTAAGTTATGAAACCTGGAAACTTATTTGAACTTGGCCTGGATAAACACTGCCAAAAACTTAACAAGCTGGAAAAAAAAAACTTTCTGGGATTTGAAGAGAGAGAAAAAAAGAGCTGAGATATTCAAATGGATTGTTAATATACAATTACAAGGGGTGTTTGGGTGAAAGGAAACCCCAAAGGCTAAAAGAAAGAGAAACAAGCCTATATATGATACTTCCTATTCTGGTGAGCCTTCACAGCCTTGTGGCACATTTATATGTATTAAATCTATATTGGACTAAAAGTCTCGTTGTCATGACTTTTAACTGGGTGAAACAGTGCATCATAGGACAATAATTTCAGCCAAGGTATCTCAAATGGGCTAACTGACAGAATGTGTCTAACACCCAGGACCTATGACTACCAAGGGAATGACATTTGAGAAAATTGTGTCTGCTTTCATGCTACTGCCTGCTACTGTGCTGCCGAGCTGATGCTGTGGTCACGTGATCTTTATTTTCAAAGTTCCATGACGATTTCTTAGCCAGTCTCATAATCCTCTCGGCAGCAGCCACTAACCTGCTTGCTGGGAAGGGAAGGGAAGGGAAGGGAAGGAGATTTCCGATGCTCCTTGCCAGATTCCCAACAAGGAAACTCAATGGGGAAGCCAGCAGGAAGTCAGAAGTCACTCCTACTTCCACAGCTTTTTTTTTTTTTTTTTTGGCTGCCTTTGGTCATTCTGTTTTTCTATTCAGCTAAAGAAATACCTCTCAAACAATGACTCAACAAGGCACTGGTTGTCCAGTAGCAATTAAAATTAACTACGCAGCATCATCTTGCACTGTGGTTTGAAGCTGGAGTAAATAAAGCTCCTTGTTCCAAGACGTTACTAATCAAAAGGTTAACAGAAAGGAGAATCTGCCTTTTGTGATTTGAAAGCAAAGGCGGGATAAAGAGGATAAGCAAAGTTTAGGACTGTTTTAATGCTAAATGTCTATTATATGTTTAACCTAGTTTTAATAGGATTTATGCCTATAAATGTACATGCAACCATCAAGAGTTGTGGTTAGCTGCTAAAGTAGAAACCAGGAGATTTTGAGTTCTAGTGCTTTCTTAGACATTAAAGCCAGTCAGACTAATTTCACTCTCTCAGGCCAACCCATTTTCACAAAGTTGGGTTTGTGGGGAAAATAGGACACAGGAGCATTAGGTACACTATTCTGTGCACTGTCTATAAAAGAAAGGTGGGATGTCCATCTAAGAATGAATAAAAACATTAAGAGCTGCATGGAGAGGGAACACAACTCAGAGGACACCCTGTGTAAAAGCCTGGAGGCCAATCCTTGGCATTTGCAATTAAAAACAAACAAGCAAGCACCAGCTACAGGTGATGAGAAAAAGCTCTCCGTGAACCACGGAAAGTTACTGCCAGATGTAACTGCCAAGACTGAGTAGGATGGACAAACAGTAAGGCCTATTTTAAGGCGACTTGTTAGTTCTCTGTAGCAGCAGTATCCCCAAATTCCCAGAATCTTTTTCGTTATAAGAATTACACTGAAAGATATGTGTCATCCTGTAATTGTACCATCTAGAGGTATTTTTACAGTGAACTCTTTTTGAAAGAAAGGGAGGGAGTGACCCTGATCAAATAATATAAGAGTATGCCCTTCAAAGAAGAAATAATGATGATCAAAGGCCTGGAGGCTAAAACATACGAAGAACAGCTGTGGGACTTGGGTTTGGCTAGTCTAAAGAAAAGAAGAAATGGGGGAGACATGATAGCAGTGTTCCAGTATCTGAGGGGCTACCACAAGGCAGAGGGGGTCATGTTATTCACCAAAGCACCAGAGGGAAGGGCGAAAAACAATGATTGGAAACTGATCAAGGAGAGAAGCAACCTGGAATTAAGGAGAAACTTCCTGACAGTGAGGACAATCAACGAGTGGAACAGCTTACCCCCAGAAATTGTGGGCACTCCATCATTGGAGATTTTAAGAAGAGACTAGACAGTCACCTGTCTGAGACAGTATAGGTTCTTCTGCTTGAGCAGGAGGCTGGACTAGAACACCTCCAAGGTCCCTTCCAGATTCTATTCTATTCTGTTCTGTTCTGTTCTGTTCTGTTCTGTTCTATTCTATTCTATTCTATTCTAATTAAATTACCAGCATCAAGTGCTTTCATTTCGTTTCTCTTTCGGCAATTGCTGTTAAAACTAACTTTGGATTTTTGTAGATTGTTGGACAATTACAATCAGAAATGTTACTAACCAATATTCATGTTAATCCCTGCTTATCTGAGGTAGTGCTTGGCTGTGTGTACAGGTAGACCTCAACTTACGATCACGACTGAGCCCAAAATTTATGTTGCTAAGTGATAATTTTGTTAAGTGAGTTTTGCCCGCTGGCTGAGGAATTCTGGGAATTGAAGTTCACCAGTCATAAAAGGGCCAAGTTGGAAGACCCCTGGACCAGAAGAAGGAGAAGTTAAAATGCAGGCTTGGTTCTCAAGATACCAACAGACTGAAGCTCAGAAGCAAAACAACAGTCACGTGTTTTGCAGAGTTGTGTTGCCAAGCTCAGATTTCTGCAACAGGAGCTGATCCAGGTGTGCTAGAACTACGCAGCCAGCCAGTGGTTGGGACTTCTAACAACTGCAGACTTAACACATTTGGAAGATATTAGATTGGGGAAGGTTAAGCTACCAATTTGCCACAGTAACCACAAACACCTGGTGGAATGGATGGAGTCAGCACAGCCATTGTTTGTTGAATAGGAGGGCAATTTCCTGTGTCAAATAACCACAGCAGAGGTGCTTGCACTCCTTGGCTTCTACAGCAGGCGAGTAGCAACCTGGAAATTGGGGGTGACTCCGGGTCAAGTGGAATCTCACTAAGACAAGAAATCTTGGAGGGTCAGCTTTGAGTGGAGCTCTATTAAAACTTAAAAACAATATGAATGTTTCTGTTTAAAGCAGGGGACATAGAATCATAGAGATGGAAGGGACCTTGGAGGTTTCTAGTCCAACCCACTGTCCAAGGCAGGAGACCATATTGCATCTTGGATAAATCTGATTGCAAAGGTATCTGCAGAGGGTTCAACCAAAGTCATCATGGTCATTGCAACCCGGAAACTGCCCCCTTTTTCACGGAAGCAAACTAGGGTGGGGCTTCAATGCCAGCATTTTGCTTTTTTTTTTTTTTACTAGCCCCCCCTCCCATAGAAAACCCTGGAATGAGGATTGGTTAAAGGACTGGAGAATTAAAAATCTTCAAGACCTAATCCCGGACATCTGATTTTGCTGGAGCCTGCCCAGAGTCCTTGTGGACTGGGGCAGGCTATGAAAATTGTAAATAAATGTTAAAAATAAACATGTAATTGCTTAATCCGGCATGTTTACTTCTCTGCGCCTGGAATTCTGAGCAATCCTTTGAGACCACATGAAATGAAAGCACCAGACCGGCTGCTTATGTTTTTGCTTTCAAGGAAGAAGAGTCTGTTTAAAACTCTTTTGCGGCGGCATATTGTAAAAGGGTGCCTGCACACCGACGTGCAGAACCAAACACACACGATGCGCCGACATAGGCTTCACAGAATTTGCAAAAACAAGGGGCCTGTTGCCTTGCTGATTTTCATTTCCACCTAAATCTCAGCCAGTTGAAAGGCTTTGGGAAAGGAGACTAAGCCCGGTCCGGCTTCTGCAAAAACGGGACTGAAGAGAGGTAAGACTCACTGGCAATCATCCAACCACACATCTCCTCCTCTCAACCATGCTCCGTGGTCCTGATTCTTGTAAGCGATAAAACGCTGAATTAGAGCCGGTTCCCTGGGCTTCAAAGGGTCAGCATCCTTGTGTGGGCTGTACCTGGAATTGCAAGAGGCAAAAAGGGGGATCAGCAATCTCAGTTCTCTCAGGAAACACCTTGAGGTCGGTCGGCTGCTTTGATATCAGCCCGTCACAAGTTCCTGCATCCAAGTCAAGCTTCTAGTTCTCATTAGAGAACTTCAAGGATCGGGAGATGCATGAGAGAGGGGGGGAGAGAAAAGTAAATCGGCATTCTTGAAGATGATTAGAAAACTTACAGGGAATGAGAACTTAAGACAGAGACTTGGAATAGGAAAGGTGTTCCCAGGTCATAAAGTTTCATGGCTTGGCAGGTCACATCCTCTTTGCCAGACTCAGAAAAGTCCAAATCCATGCAAAATCTCCCATGGATATGAACAACTATCACTCCAAACCAAAGGCCACCAAAATCAGTTTACCTTCCAGAAATCAGAGTCAGGATTGGCCGTTTGTCTTTGGCTGATGCTGGCGTTGTTTTAACTCCGTTGTCAATTATCATTCCAGCCTGAGGAGAAGGAGGGAAGGCAGCTGGTAAGCAATAGCTACTCTAATAAATTCTTAGATGTTGGGGAAAGTATGCACCTTTTTTGGGGGGCGGGTCTGCAATATCAACCTCGGGAAAAAAAAGATGCCTTATCTGGTGCAAAATGGATTGCACTCCCTTTTAATTTCATGAATCATTAGATTTCATGATTCCATTCTATTTTCTATTTTCTATTTTCTATTTTCTATTCTATTCTGTTCTGTTCTGTTCTGTTCTGTTCTGTTCTATTCTATTCTATTCTATTCTCCATTCTCTTCCCTATTCCATTCCACTCCACTCCATTCCACTCCACTGCATTCCATTCCATTCCATTCTCCATTCTCTTCCATTCCATTCCATTCCATTCCATTCCATACCGCTCCACTCTGTTCCATTCCGTTCCGTTCCATTCCATTCCATTCTATTCTATTCTATTCTATTCTATTCTATTCCATACTGCTCCACTCTGTTCCGTTCCACTCCATTATTCTATTCTATTCTATTCTATTCTATTCTATTCTATTCTATTCTATTCTATTCTATTCTATTCTATTCTATTATTTTTCATTCTCTGTTCCGTTCTGTTCCTCTCCGCTACACCACCCATCTCAAATTCATTACTCTGACAGGTTTTTTTTATCTCTCTACTTGGAGCACAAGGTAACAAAACAGAATCTGCACATTTTCTTCTTTGTTTAAAGACAGCAGGAAAGTTTGCCACTGATTTCACAGGAGCATGAACAGTGACCAATAACAGCTTTCTATTTCAGAAATTGGAAGGGGAAAAAGAAAATGCAGTTTTTGTGTGTTTTCATGGCAGGTGGACTTACTCGGTAATTGGAGTGGGCTCGATTATTATAAAACAAGCCCATTGGAATGTGCTCTGAATAGCCAGGTGGGTACATTCCGACAGAAAGTCCTGTTGGTACATGATGCAAAACAAACCAAAATCCTGTTTCCTGCAAAGGAAAAGAACAGTTTCAGACTAAGACAGACCTGGGTTACATGAGGTATTATGTAAACGAGGAAAATCTAATTTCTCTCTCCCTCCCTCCCTCCTTTCAAAAGCCAATAGGAATTGTCCAGGCTGTCTCTGCCCTGCTGAGCCCGCCAAAAGCCCCAGTCTGCAAACGGTGCTGCACCACTTGAGTAGTTCTCGACTTACAACCGGTTGCGTAGTCCTCGACTTACCGGTAGTTAAAAGGTAGTTAAAGGCATTAAAAAGGTTGAGAACCACTGTCCTAGGGGATCAAAGGCCACAATTCTGTGTGACATACAATTCTGCAACTGCTAACCTTTCTATCCCCTCTACAAGAGAAGGACCTTTTGCCCTCTTTGTGTACATTGTTCCATTCTCTCCTTGGCATCGTTGTGCACAAGAATTCCCGTCAGCTACTTAACGAATTGCAGTTTCAGGCTCGCTTCTCCTACAGGAGTCCTCCAATAGCAAAAAGAGTTATATCAAAAGAACATCAAAGGGGTTCCTTTGAAGCCTATTACTCTCCCACTCTCTCTTGGATCATTCAATCTCAAACAAAGATTCAATAAGATCAGCTGCTTTGGGGAAGCTCTTGATTACAATTATGCATAAATCACTGCTCTGGACTCTCAATTGGAAAATGTGCTGAAAGAAAAATCGATGTGCACAGAAACATCTTTGTGTAATGCTTTTCAGGAAATCTAATTCTCCCACACCCGAAAAATAATATGTTTTATGTGTGTTTAGAGTGCGATCCATTTTAATTTAAGAATGGGCGGGTCTTTCGCAATTACTTAGGAAACAAGAGGGTTATTTTACACAAATGATTTGCAGATTGGCTGACAGGTTAGCAAGGTTTTGTTCCCAACCCAAGTTGGATGAAAGAATCGCATCCCGCTAAGCAGGCCCAAATGGCAGAGCCACCTTTGTTCCCATCGGAAAACTTTTGCCTTGAGAGCGAAAATCATCCCACTCACTTCGGATCCTGCTGCTGCGCAGTTTATGAGGTTGTTGTGTGGGTTTGCCAGCCAGAAAGTTGAGACGGCACTGTTGGATAAGAAAACCAAGTATGAGAAAGCAAAACAGTTGCTTGACAGTGAGATGGGCAGCCTATACATTTAATAAATAAATAAAATAAAATAAAACCCAAACATTTTCCCAATGCCAGGTCTGCAGAGGAGATGTATGCTTAGGGATCAGAATAAATCTGGGTGAGATAGCTTGGTGACAGACAGTGTATATAATAATAATAATGATAAAGTTGGAAGGGACCTTGGAGGTCATCGAGTCCAACCCCCTGCTCAGGCAGGAAACCCTATACCATTTCGGACAAATGGCTGTCCAGTCTCTTCTTAAAAACCTCCAGTGTTGGAGCATTCACTGCTTCTGGAGGCAGGTTGTTCCACTGGTTAATTGTTCTAACTGTCATGAAGTTACTCCTTAGTTCCAGGTTGCTTCTCTCCTTGATGAGTTTCCATCCGTTGCTTCTTGTCCTGCCCTCAGGCGCTTTGGAGAATAGCTTGACTCCCTCTTCTTTGGGGCAGCCCCTGAGAGATTGGAACACTGTCTCCTCTCGTCCTTCTCTTTGTTAAACTAGACATACCCAATTCCAGCAACCGTTCTTCATATGCTTTAGCCTCCAGTCCCCTAATCATCTTTGTTGCTCTTCTCTGTACTGTGTAATGCAGTGAGGTGTCCTTCATGCTCTCTGAACGTGGTTGCAGACGTTTTATTACCCAAACTAGGTAACATCATCAGTGCTAATGAACTGCAGTGTTTCTCCTAGGCAAGTTTTAGATTGAGAATTGAAGAACACAGACCTAAAAGTTGCCAAGATTGAGAAACACCGGTGTAATGACCTGTGGCATCTCTCTCCATCCCAGCCCACTCCCACTGGTGCCCCGTTTTCTCCATTTCACCATTGTCCATGCAAGGAAAGATCTCATCCCAAGTTTGAAAAGCTGCTGGAATTTCAGGACAAATTCCGAGTGATGTTGCAAAACAACTCTGGTGCTATAAAAAAAAATCATTTCTATTTTATGAATGTGCCTATCTGCAAAAGAGTTAGGTTAGTGGGCTTAAGTGGCAATGCATTTGCTCTTTCTGGCCTTTTGCCATATCTAGATTTTCAAGAATTTTCCAGATGCTTAATTTCTTTCATCACCCTGGGTTCTGTCTCTTCCCCTCCACTGTTCACTTTTTTTTCTGTCAGGCAACTTGGTTTTAATTCTCCAGTAGCAGAATTGTTTTGCAGAGTAGGCACGTTCACTGCTCCTTTACATGGGACTGGAATATTGACTTGATTTGTGCTTGGGAAGATGAATAATATATTGCAACACGTGTCAATTTTTGTCCGAGCTTTCTTTGGAGGCAAATTTTATTTACTTAATCAATTTCTGCCTAATTCCATTGCAAATAATGTATTGTTCGATCCAAATGTCTTTTTTCTTCTTTCTCTGCACAAAACGAGAAGTTGCTAGTCTTCAAGAAAGGCAATCTATCCATCTGTTGAAGCCTTGTCCTTCAAAATCCATTTCAGAAGAGCAAAGAACAAAATTGAAAGGAATATATGTTAGTGCCATCTGCATTATTAAAGTAAGGATGGGCCTGGGGAGAGGTTGTTATTCTCCATTACTTTCTAAGACAGAAAAATTCCTTCTGGCATTTTTCTGTGAAAAGTAATCCAGGATAAGTAGAAGAACTATTTTCCTGATTCCAGTGGGCTGTTCATTTAAGAACTGTATGATGTATTCATGGAATTTTATCCACTTCAATCGACGCCCAGAAACCATGCATGTATGATACCCCCTCAAAAAAAAAAAAAAAGAATATGGAAAACAATGAACAAAAAGCTAATTCTTTGTTTGAAATAATGGCTAGGCATTCTTAATCAGAATGATGAATTAAGCATGCACTTCTATTTTCCCACTGGAGAGCCAAACAATTTAAAGGTTTTTGATTTGGTCTGATGTTTCCTCATGGAAAAAGGCCTTTTTGGAACCAAACGTCCAGGTGGCTATTTCATGCAAGCAAAACAACAAACTTTTCATTCGATTACGAATGCTCCTTGTACGCTCAGCGAGCCGTGCAACATTCTGTAAACCAGAGATAATTAAAAAAATGAAAGGTTTCCCTGCTCACTTGCAATCCTGTCTTGGTTTGGGGACATATCCCGGATAAGCATCTTCAGTAATGGTCTTGCACATTCTGGTGTCCCGGTCCGACGGTAGCAAAGTGCTGGGTTTCACCACAAGTCCGAGGCAGTGATCAAAGGTATTACGTACTTCAGGGCCATCTTCAGTGAAGAAACAATGACCCAAAGAGTCATACCCAACCACGTCCTTAATCTGAATGGACAAAAACAGATGAAATGGACAGAAAACTAATGAAAGCAAGCACATAGAAGAGGCTTTTCCTTCACCAATGTAAGGCATCCTGCAGTAGATTATGATAGCTATAAACTGGATCAGGATATTAGCTTTAATTTTCTTCTAATCCTCTCCCCCCCCATTCCTTCCTTCAATCCTTCGAGTATTATATGCCCGATAGAAGACACGGCTTTAAGTCAGAGAATTTATAAACGATGCAATGCTTAAAAGTCAGCCAAAGGAACGGGATGGCCCTTTTTTCCCATTCAAGCCAGAGCCATGAATTAAAAATGGAATTACCGGTAGCAGATGCAATAACGGTCATTGTTGGCCAGTCTCAAAATGCATCTGGAAACTCTTCCCTTTAGCGGGCTCTTGGCCAAGCTTCATTAAATTTTACACCCAGAGACCACTTCCACCCCATAGAGAGAGAGCCTATCAATATTTTCTGGCTGAATGTGCGGCCCTGCAGCCATTAATATCAACACCGCTCCCCATAACTCAGGGCCAGGATGTTAAGACGTCACATTTTGCTGTGCAGCCTCAGTCTTTAGGAGGGCAATGAGGAGAGCAGCAATGCAACGCACTTTAAAACCTCAATTACAAGCGGAGCAGCATTTTACATTTTAACTGGTACAGATGGCAGGCAGCCCAGACAGGCAGCCCAGACTGATTTACTTGCCTATCCTGAGTGTGTGTGTGTGTGTGTGTGTGTGTGTGGTGGGGGGCTGTTTCAGTTATGCATGGTATTTTTTCACACCAGATAAGCTGTCCCATTAGCAACGTTTGCTGCCTGTGCAGACAATCCATGCAGTTAAAGACTAGCTGAAAGAAACTCCTAAAAACTTATTTCGACCAAAAGGCTAGTGTTGTTGTTGTTGTTTTGTTAGTTGCGAAGTTGTGTCTGACCCATTGCGACCCCATGGACAACATTCCTCCAGGCCTTCCTGTCCTCTACTATCTTCTGGAGTCCATTGAAGCTCATGCCTACTGCTTCAGGGACTCCATCCCGCCACCTCATTCTTCTCTTGCCCTCCATCTTTCCCAGCATTAGGCTCTTCTCCAGTCAGTCCTTCCTTCTCATTAGGTAGCCAAAGTACTTGAGTTTCAACTTCAGGATCCTGAAAAGGCTAGTACAGCTTTGTTATAATGGGGGGGGGGGTTGTGCTTCAGTGGTTTTGCTCTAAAATTTGGTCCCTGGTATGTACAGGTATGTCTGGAAAAAACTGGATATGGCTGCCAATAATGTTAATAATATTAGCCTAGATGAACGTATAATTTGACCCAATACAAAATGAATTCCTATGTTTGAGAGCAGCCTTGTTCTTTTGATAGAATAGATGCTTCCCCAAAGAATTGCAGTTCTCCATATACAAAGATGCCTATAGAGATTCACAATCATCCAGGTCATGGTTGTCTCAAAGGTGCTTTTCAAAATGCAAATGTACTTTCTTGGGTTTTTTTCCCTTGAAAAAGCTTCCTTTTGAAGCAAAACATTTTCAAGGAAAAAAAATAATCAAGAAAGTCCAGTTGCCTTTTGAAAAGAACTTCTGGGAGTTCCTTGCAAGCTAATCTTCAAGTCAACCCAACTGAATTTGCTTAGGTTCACTCCCATTTCAGTGTATGTAACTCTGTGGCCTTCATCCTGAGGCTGGCTCATGCCTATGACTCATATACATGGCACCTGCAACTTGTATTTAATTTATGTTATTTAAGCAATTGATATGCTGATCCACCTTGCTGCGGTGAGGTGGAGCAGCTAACAGCAAAACAAAAATATCAGCAATCCAAAACAATTCAAAACAACTACAATAACAATGAATATACAGTACTCCAAAGGTCCAAATAAAACTCTTCCAGTTAACAAAGGACTGACAGCAAGTAACTAACCAACAGGACTGACTTAACCAGCTGCTTTCGATGCTTGAGGTTAAGTTTGCTTCTAAACACAGAAGACAACATATATCTATTACAGCAGGTTTACCTGGTTGTGTGTGTAGCTCTGTTTGGAAATATATTAAACCACCCCCAAAAAGAGACAAAGTTCAAGTGATGGATTAAGGAGCGTCTTGAGGAATTAGAAGAAGAATGGGGAATGGTCCCATCCTGGCTGATAGGACAGCCATATGTTTTGAGGATGCAAAAGGGATCATCATCCTTTCATCCAAATTGTCAGAATCCAATTATATTTCATCTCTAGTTATCAACTATAGAAAACCCCATTTCTGCCTTCTCTGGATTCTGTCATACGATGAAGGGAAGGGGGTGAACAAAGGGGCTTTATGGCCCTCACTTCCTTCAGTACAATTCAAAGCAACTGAATGTGGATATCACCAAAAGGACTAACCATAAGAATGGGGCTATTACCTTTCATGTAGTTCTCTCTGAAGTCTCCATCCAGCCAGCAGTAAGGAAAAGGGTGTGGGAATGTAATGCCTGAGACTGTCGCTGGAAGAAGGGGGTGATTGGGTGGGGCTACTGGGGAACCCCTTAAAACCTTGAATGGGAGAGCTTGGACCCCAAGTCCTATCTAGAACGCCTGCAACCATTTTCTCTTAATAAAGAATGCCTGTTGGAAGAACTATTCCAAGAGTTCTGTCTTCTTAAGATGCAAAGTGGGATGGGTCCTTACCACCTTGCAGGTCAAAGACAGAAAACCTGTCAATTTCTCTCTACCTAATAGCATCTCGTGTTTGCAGCAATAGGAGAGTCAAACCTCAGCATCTTACCAGCAAACCATTGGAGCCATGCACGGTGACACAACGAGAGAAGGTGTGATGGATGGACATATCTTTCACATACGTAGGGGGCTGGTAGCCCCCCTTCTCATCCACGTCTTGAGCCATGTGGAAGTGAATTGGGTAGTGTCCCAGCAACTGCTGGCCCATATGCTTCAACTCCACGCCTTCCATGTGGACAGATTTAAATCCAAGTCCAATCTAGAGAACAGAGAGATAATTCAGTGAAAATATGGAATGAGAATGTCTGAACTTGCATTTTTAGGTAGGTTAAAAATACACATGATCAACAGCATCCAGCCCAAATGAAGTCATTTAAAATACTGATTTTTTTTAAAGGACAGGAAAATAAAATAAGCAGGGTCTCTTAATTCCCCCTAACAGGAAGCAATGGAAAAGATTGAGCCCAGACTGCAATACTAATCCAATACAAGTTAATTGCAGCATTTCAGAAAGTTGATATGGCACCCTCCAGGGGTGCTGGGCTACAATGCTATCTTCCCCAGCTTCTAAAGATTCCAGACTAGAAGATGGTGATACTGGCATTTTGTGTTACAGGGGGGGAAAAAAAGCAAAGTTGGAGGATGCAGACGAAAAGAGGAAAACAGCTATAGAAACGAGGAACTTCCCACTTTCTTTGCTACAGACACAAGCATGAACTAGAATGTCTCTTTCAGCTAGAATAAACCATACCACGTAGTGCTTCTGCAGTCATAAATAGTTCTAGCCATCCAGTTCCAAAGTTAAAATTTCCTTTCTTTCTGTTTCAAGCAAAAAGGCCCAAAGAAACAAAGCTAGCAAAAGTCTTTAATCAGAGCAGAGCTAGAAAGTGTACCTTGATGTGTCCGCCAAAAGTATCAAAATCAAAGAAGGAGCACAGATGAGCATTATAAGCGTAACATCTCGCCTCCATCTCGCCCATCACTAGAATGTTTCGGGTTAGCAGTCCGACTTCAGCCCGCATATCAACTCCATCAATTATCTCTCCTGTGTGAAGGTAGCTGGCTTTTCCTACGGGAAAGGATAACATCCAAGGTGTCATAAAAGGGGAAAGATTAACGTAATGGGGGAGGTTCACAGAGAAATAGATCAGCACGGCCAAGAACCTGTCCTAAAGGCTGGGAAGGGGCCAGGACATCTTGTGAAGAAGAAGACACAAAGCAGCAAAAGATGGGCAAATCCATTGTCCTCAATAAACTGAATCCATTTTCCAAACACACAGCCATACCCATACCCCAAAAAACCCCACAAGTTTTATGCCTAGATCATGAAGACCTATCAGTGTCTTACCACATTTTACCATACAAATATTTGATTCTATCTCTTTCTATACAGGTAGTGCTCGATTTACAACCACAGTTGAGCCCAAAATTTCTGTTGCTCAGCAAGACAGTTGTTAAATGAGTTTTGCCCCATTTTACAACTTTTCTTGCCACAGTTGTTAAGTTAGTAACACGGTTGATAAGTCAACCTGGCTTCCCCTTTGACTTTGCTTGTCAGACGGTTGCAAAAGAGGATCACGTGACTCTGGGGTTTGCTTCAACTGTCATAAGTACGAGTCAGTTGCCAAGCATTTTCATTTTGGTCACTTGACCATGGAGATGCTGCAACGGTCCTAAGAGTGAAAAACAGTCATAATTCCCTTTTGTTCCCCAGTGCCATTGTAACTTTGAATGACTACCAAATGAACAGTTATAAATCAAGGACGATCTCTACATCTATTCCAAAGTCCAAAGTTTTGTGACTTTGCAGGGTAACAAAGTGGATTTTGTTTGTCAGAAGGAATGATGCCAAAAGTTCAAAAAATATTTCAAACAAGCTGTTCTCTTTGCTCAAACACCCGCCACGCTGATCCAGAAAAGTGGATTATAGAATATCCACCTGGAAGCTGCAAGGTTTTTTTTTTATGCTAGCCTCAGCTTTCAGGCACCACGTGTTTTCTTAGCTATCTGCCCAGACCTGCGAAGAATGTTAAATGCCTGCAAGAATGTTGGATGTGTAGCAAGCGGTTCCTTGATACCTCATGTGCTGGACCTTGTTTACACAAAGTGCTTTTGCTGATTTGACATGATCCGAGATAAAGACACAACCACGGGTGGTTTGAGGTAAGTTTGGGGTAGGTGTGTTTTTCTCCTTCAGAAATGGTGATGCCATGTTTATGATCACAGCCATTAACTTCAAAGGAATTGCCGTGTTTGATGGCAAACATACCCACAGCAAAAATGAGTTTATTTAGAAGTGATGCCATCAGAGCAGTAGCTAGACATGTGCACGGTGTCCTGCATTAAATAATCCAACCACATCTATGAGTAACTCTGGATATGCACAAGAAATAGCTGGAGAGAGATGGTATGTTTGTATTTCTCCTGGATCCGACCTAAGGCTCTTTAAATTATGCCTCTAGTTTTGTTTTTGTTTCCTGGTCCTTGAAGGCCAATCGTGTTTACCATTCAAGCCTTCGGCTAAGGCTGAGACTTGCATCAAATCTTGCATTGTATCAGTAGTCAGATTAAATGTTGAATGGAATAAATAACACGACATACAAAACAATAACAATGAAGTAGCCTGGAGAGATTTTTCAATATTCTGCAGGTCGTGCAAAATCTGCATCACTCAAGGCCCAGTATAACTTGATCTGTTTTATTTTTCTTAAAATTAGAGAAAATTTATCCATGATGGGTTATTAAGTATTTTTTTTACACAAAACCTTTCCAATTTAGATTCTCCTGTTTACTAAGATCACCTCTGAAACAACTAAATAAAGAGGTGAATGTAAAAAAAAAGAAGGGGGAAGGAACCATTTTTATTTCTTAAAGGCTTTTGCTGAAAGAACTGAATCAGAAGGAGAGGGGGAAAAAATGAGGGCAATCACCTGTCTTGAGATGGTATAGGTTCTCCTGCTTGAACAGGGGGTTGGGCTAGAAGACCTCTAAGGTCCCTTCCAGCTCTACTCTACTCTACTCTACTCTACTCTACTCTACTCTACTCTACTCTACTCTACTCTACTCTACTCTACTCTACTCTACTCTACTCTACTCTACTCTACTCCACTCCACTCCACTCCACTCCACTCCACTCTATTCTACAATCTTTCTATTCTATTCTATTCTATTCTATTCTATTCTATTCTATTCTATTCTATTCTATTCTATTCTACTCTACTCTACTCTACTCTACTCTACTCTACTCATTTAAACCTTCTGATGGTGCAAAAAACCCAAAACCTCTTTGTACTGGATTTCACCAATCCCTTGCAGAATTCTCAAGGGATTGGCCAGTAGCTACTAATTTTTTTAAAAAAAAATGCATGCAAAAGCTTTTGCATTGAGAGAATCTGAGAAGAAAAGTCAGAGGGATGCCTTGCTTTCCCCAGACTGAAGACCAAATTTAGCCTTGGAGTGGTTTTGCAGCAATCATACTCTATCAAAGCAGTGATTGGAAGCAGACAAAATTAAAGATTGACTTGGTTTGCATTTAATTTGTTAAAATTAAATATCATTGTGAGAATTCTCCAGCCAGGTATTTAATCACTTTCTTCTTTCATCAAACAAAAAATAACTTCTTAGGAACAGCTTTCGAAGATCTGGGGCATATCACACAAGGCTTTTGTGAAAGACATGTTGTTGTGAAACATCAGGCAGGAACATAAATCAATGTTAAAATGTTTTTAAATTATCCATCTGGAGACGTGTCATCCTAGCATGGAATTTTCTGAACCACACATTCTGAGGAAGTAGCTCATAGAAATCAAAACACTTCAGATATTTATCTTTATAATAAGCACTCTCATTGCTTGCTTTACTTCCTATCTACCTGTCTGCATTCATTACATGAGCATAACCTAAACTGGTTTCTGAACAAATCTGTTTTCACAAGGCACTGGATGATAAGCCAGCCAAATCAGCCAAGCCCTCACACAACATGCTTGGCCACAAAACCACCTAGCCAAATGCTGTTGTTGTTGTTGTTGTTAATTGCGAAGTCGTGTCCGACCCATCGCGACCCCATGGACAACGTTCCTCCAGGTCTTCCTGTCCTCTACCAAGCCAAATGCTGTATTTGGGGCAAATGGATTCTGCTAAATCTAATCCATTTCAGTATGTTGAGTGAACACAACTACGGGTGTGTTTGAACTTTAGCCAGTTGTGAAGGGCAAAACTGGCATTTTTTTAAAAAAATGTAAAGGTTTCCCCTGTCCAGTCATGTCCCACTCTACAGGATAGGACTCACCTCTATTTCCTAGCTGAGGGAGCCAGCACTGTCCGAAGACACTTCTGTGGACATGTGGCTGGCATGATTATACGCCGAGGCTACAGAATGGTGCTCCCTTCTCATTGGTACCTATTTATCTATTTGCATTTGCATGCTTTCAAACTGCTAGGTTGCCAGGAGCTGGAGCCATAACAGAAGCTTGCCCCATCACATAGTACTGCCAACCTTCAAATCGACAAGCCCAGCATTTTAACCACTAGTCCAGGGGTCCCCAACCCCTAGTCCATGGACCGGTACTGGGCTGCGGCATGCCAGCAACTGATCTGCACAAACAAGCAAAGCTCCATCTGTGTGATGCAGGCAGCACACAAAACCATTCAGTCTCCGGTCCATGGAAAAACCTTTCTCCACAGAACTGGTCCCTGGTGCCCAAAAGGTTGGGGACCTCTGCGCTAGTTCACTGCACCCCTCCCCCCCAAAAATGTGGCATTATTGCTTCTTAAAGAATGCACAACGGAGAACCAGGCCTTGGTAAACCAAGCCTGCCTCTGATTTCAGACGTCCCATACACTTTCTGCATACTGTTAGGATTCCCATGGATTTTAACGTAAACCTTTGCAGAAATCTATGGATAACCATAAGAAAGGCTGAGCGCAAAAGAATTGAGGCCTTTGAACTATGGTGCTGGAGAAGACTCCTGCGAGTCCCTTGGACTGCAAGGCTTTCAAACCGGTCAGTCCTAGAAGAGATCAACCCCGACTGCTCTTTAGAAGGCCAGATCCTGAAGTTGAAACTCAAATACTTTGGCCACCTAATGAGAAGGAAGGACTCAATGGAGAAGGGCCTAATGCTGGGAAAGATTGAGGGCAATAGAAGAAGGGGACGACAGAGAATGAGATGGCTGGATGGAGTCACTGAAGCAGTAGGTGTGAATTTAAATGGACTCCAGAAGATGGTAGAGGACAGGAAAGCCTGGAGGAACATTGTCCATGGGGTCGCGACGGGTCGGACACGACTTCGCAATTAACAACAACAATAATGGATAACCCATTTGGTGTTGCCCAGTTCAGGGTCAAAGATATCTGCAAAACCAAACTGGAAACAGCCTTCTTAAAAAAAAAAAAATCAGACTAGTCTCTCTGATCATTTTGTCTGCCAATTGATTCGCAGTTTTATCTCTTGCATGAAAAAAGGGCATTGCATCCTTTCCGTCCACGTTCGATTCCCCCCAGATTTGAAAGCAGCCTCACCTCCACGTAGTTAAAAGTCTAAAGATAATGGCTGGGGCTTTAGGTTTTGTTTGATCTCCTGTTCTCAGAACCACCCTTCCTGCTTTCCTGTAGTCCTTTGTCTGCTTTTGCTCCAAGTCTCCAATTCAGTAAAGTCCGGATGTAAAGCATCAAAAGCATTGCCTCCTTCACAGAAGGTGGAAAACTCTCAACTCAGGAAAACCCACATCTGATACAGATAGGAAAACTGAAATATCTCAAATAAAGGAACTATTTCCTTTTACCCATTTGCCTGTCATGGGCTGTTTAGAAAACAAAAATCGTCCTATATTTTTTGATGCCAAACTAGTTCTCGTTCCATTTTATTTTACTAAAGAAAACTTTCTTTTGAACACGTTTTTCCTCCTATATTTTTGCAACGGCAACCAAATTTCAGCATAGCAATCATTAAAAGAAAGGACATTGAATGTTGTGGGGCTGGAGTGTTGAGGAAGGAACTTCAGGAAATCGGTTCCTTCATCAATAATTTTCTCTTCCCATGAGGAAAGTCAGATCTGGAGAAGGCTGCTGATATCTGGTTGTAGTCACTCGTGCCCTAGTCATCGCCTGGGTGGACTACCTTAATGTGTTTTACATGGGGCTGCCCTTGAAGCGTATCTGGAATCTTCAGCTGGTTCAGAATGCAATTGCTCAGCCAATTAGGTGTGCCCTAAAGTTACACCTCTGTTCTGTGAGCTGTATTGGTTGCTAGTATGCTTCTAGGTCCAATTTAGGCTTCCTGGTTCTGACTTTAAACCCTTCAAAGTTTGAGATTGGGTTGTTTGAGGGATCACCTCTTCCTGATCACACCTGCCCATCCCATCAGGTCCAGCAAAAGAGATATGTTGTGGGTCTCCAGTTAGAAGCCTACAACTTCCAGAGCTCTCAAAGTCCTCTTAAAGTCTTAAAGAACTGGGCTTCCAAGTTCTCTGGTTGATAGACATAAGGTGAATATGGGTTTGAATTCCCACAACACTCTTAGTTAGTTTCTTGAACCAATTCAGGTTTTTTTTTGGATCTGTATAATATTCTGAACCATAAACTAAACAAGCACAACATGCTGGGGAAGTTAAAACTAACCCAACCTTGCTTGTGGTGCAAATGCAGCCACTAAAATCATAATCAAATCAAAAAGTCTTTTGTGAATGCAGTCGAAGAGTTGTTGTAATAAGGAAGTGGTGAAGATGTCAATGTGCAAACCCCTAGTTTCCTTCACTCACGGGGATTTTATTTTTCATCTACTCATTTAACATGCTTGGCTTTAGAAAGAAAGAAAAAAAAAAGGAACGGAAAGTTGGCATATTACGAAGTCCAGGCCTTCTTGTATCATAATTATTTCTAAAAGTGCTTTGGGATCTAAATCTGCCCTGGAGATATTGTTGAGAAATAAAGAGAGCAGGTAGCTACAACTTAGTACTTTCGTTGGAAGGATGCCAACAGGAAAAAAAAAGAAGACAAAGATAAATTGAATTGATAGAAACCAACTCTGAGTGACTGGTAGCTGTTTGCTTTCTGATAATTGGGTGTTCTTAGCCATCCCCATCAAGTCTGCCAGTGTTTTTTTGTAAGGAGATAACCTTCCTCTCACGACAGCTATTTTATGGGAATGAACAAAAAACACCCTCAGATGCTAAATGTCTAATCTGTTTTGATGGCTTTCTTGAAATGAACCATCAATGTTAAATTGCCTTAACTTTAAAGAGCAGATTGGCAGGAAGGAGAAAGGGTGCCCACGGTTTTAAATAAGCAATTTCATGGTCTTTCCTACTGGTGAACAAAAGTGACTTGATTCCTCTGAAAGGCTGTTTATACCACAACTTTAAATTGTTCCAAAATAGCTCCCTTCGTTCACCAAATATTCTGTGCAGAGAATATGAAAATATTGGTGTCTGTGGATACTGGCAGAGGTATTTATTGTAACCCAACCATTCCGGAGAAAAGCATTAGAAATCTAAGTAATTTTTTTAAATCCTGGACCACAGATCCACGTGTGGCTTTGGGTCTGCAATGCAATGCAAACCAATCAATGGGAAGGAACAAAGCAGTAACTAAGGAGAAACTTCCTAACAGTGAGGACAATTAACCCGTGGAACAGCTTGCCTTCAGAAGTTGTGGGTGCTCCATCACTGGAGGCTCTTTAAAAGAGACTGGACAGCCACTTGTCTGGAATGGAAAAGGGTTTCCTGCTTGAGCAGGGGGTTGGACTAGAAGACCTCCGAGGTCCCTTTCAAGTCTGCTATTCTGCCAAGAGACTGGGCAGCCCCTTGTCTGATATGGTATAGGGTCTCCTGCTTGAGCGGGGGGCTGGACTAGAAGACCTCCAAGGTCCCTTCCAAGTCTGTTATTCTGTTATTCTTGGGACAAGCAAAAGGAAGGAATTCTTTAAGATGTCCTTCTTCTTCAGCCCCTTCCCACCACCTTCTTTTTCAGATGTGCCTGGAGTTTAGGAAAGACATTCAACGTTCCGCTTTCTTTTTATTATCTCTGGATATCTTTGGGGGCCACGCTCATTTAGTGTGGTTTTTCCAATCACATAAGTGTTGCTGAACAAAGGGAGAGGACAACGAAAATAGAACTGTAGAGACGCTTTCCCTGCAGAAAGCTGCCTGCCATCTTTAGTCATGAGGCTATGATGCATTTAAAAAAACCCACAAAAATATTTTTCTTGGCACAAGTCATCCACTTTCTTTCAACCCTGGCAACCACAGGCCCCAAAACGCGGTAGTTCCTACTGAGCCACTTGCATCAGAGTTAACGGGATTCGTGATTTAAGGATGACCTGTACTGTGACAGAGGTATGGGCTGATCTGATCTTCCTTTCTTCCTTTCTTATCCAATCCAATTTCCTTGCAAAGTCAAAGAGGCATCAACAGTCCCACCCGGCATTAATCCCCCTTAGTTGACAGATCACCCAAAGCTCTAGTGGGCTAAAACATGGTTTTGGAATAAGCTACAATTGTATGGACTCATAGTCAGAAGAAAACACCAGAATCATAGGAACAGAATAGCAGAATTGGAATGTCTTTTAGTCCAACCACCTGTTCAGGCAGAGGACCCTATACACTCTAAACCTCCAGACAAATGATGGTCCAATCTCTTCTTAAAAGCCTCCTGGAGCACCTACAACTTTTGAATATTGAGCACAATGGAGGAATCCAACTATAGAGCATTAGTGCTGAAAAACATCTTACTCAAATTATCTGAGTAACTTTACATCTATTCTGGAAAGTAGAAGGGATTACCTTTTGCAGGTTGTGTGTGTGTTTGTGTGTGGTATGTGTGTCTTCAAATCAGTGTGACTCCTGGCAACTGCCAGGATAAGTCCCTGCAGTTTCTTGGCAAGGGTTCCATGGTGGGTTGCCACTGGCTACTTCCTAGGACCAAAAGAGAGTGACTGGCCCAAGGTCACCTAACTGGCATTGTGCCTAAGGCTACAACTCACAATCTCCCAGTTTCTAGTCTGATGCCATAACCACTACACCAAACTGTCTAAGATTACCCAGTAATCATACTACAGTATTTATTGGCAGTTGGGTTCTTCTATTCTTCCACATTCAGTTCCAGCTTCTTCTCTCTACTTTTGACCGTATCCTTGTCACATCACCTGACTGCCTATGGCCACAACATGCCTCACATATGATCGCGAATTCCATGTAGATGAGTTCACAAACATTCAGTCCTTCCTTTGCCAGCCAGCCCACTTGCTTTCTGGGCCAGGCATGGAAGAAAGAAAATATCTTCTCTCTACACCCCGCACGAGCTGGCAGAGCAGAGATAAATTGCACCCACAAACTATCTGCTTGGTCAGAAAGCAGTTATTTTCCAAAATCAATACATTAGCAACCCAGATTGTTGGGGGCAATGTGCTGACTCTGTAAACTGCTTAGAGAGGGCTGCAAAGCACTATGAAGCGGTATATAAGTCTAAGTGCTATTGCTACTGCTATTGCAGGCTAACTCTGCCTACTGCCAGAAGTTTGATGCTGAACCGGCTCAAGGTTGACTCAGCCTTCCATCCTTCTGAGGTTGGTAAAATGAGGACTCAGATTGTTGGGAGCAAATAGGCTGACTCTGTAAACTGCTCAGACAGGGCTGCAAAGCACTATGAAGCAGTACATAAGTCTAGGTGCTATTGCTACTGCTATTGTACGTCGAGAACAAGAGATCAACGATGTAACTTAATATTTAGTAATATTACTACTACCAATATTACTATTAGGGGACTGGAGGCTAAAGCATATAAGGAACGGCTGCTGGAACTGGGTATGTCTAGTTTAATGAAGAGAAGGACGAGGGGAGACATGATAGCAGTGTTCCAATATCTCAGGGGCTGCCCCAAAGAAGAGGGAGTCAAGCTAGTCTCCACAGCGCCTGAAGGTAGGACAAGAAGCAATGGATGGAAACTAACCAAGAAGAGAAGCAACCTAGAACTAAGGAGAAACTTCCTGACAGTTAGAACAATTAACCAGTGGAACAACCTGCCTCCAGAAGTGGTGAATGCTCCAACGCTGGAAGTTTTTAAGAAGAGACTGGACAGCCATTTGTCCGAAATGGTGTAGAGTTTCCTGCCTGAGCAGTGAGTTGGACTAGATGACCTCCAAGGTCCCTTCCAACTTTATTATTATTATTATTATTATTATTATTATTATTATTATTATTATTATTACTTTCAGCCCCAGAGATACCCACACAAACACAGGGTCTTAGCTCTCCTTCAAAGCATGATCCATTCAGCCCTACCTGCCACTTTGACTTCGTTGGGCTTACAGGCTCTGCAGGGCAAAAGCTCAAACTCTTCAGCTTGGTACATGGAGTAGTCCGTGCTGGCCACCACGATCTTGTCTCCCACTTTCCACGACTGCACATTATCAGCCAGTCTTAGGATTGTACTGTTCACGTTGGTATCCACCCGCATGGTAAGCTTGGGTCTTACTGAAAAGCCAACAAGGGAAAGAAAGTGGATGAGGATAGGAAGTGCAGAGAAACATCTCATGTTCTCCTTCTCCAATTCCCCATGGCCCAAACATGTTTCTTACTCCTCAAACAAGGATTTTGGAAAGACAAGACAGCTGTTGCTGTCAACCACAGGTTAGATTTGTGTGTCTTCCTCTTATTCAGGAAGCACAATAAGTAGCTCCTATGTTTAGCCACAATCTACCACGTAGATCTGATGATTATAACCAGGAAGCTGTCGTTATTGTTATTTACACACAGAGAGAGTTTGCATATATAGTCATTATGGAAAACAGTGTGAGGTGTCCCTATCTTCCATTCCACTCCCTTAACAAAACCTTGAGAAAAAAGCAGAAGGGCCTCTGCGTGGATGGTAGCCTATTGACTGCCATTCATACCGAACAAAATGCCCTCAAGAAAATATTCCATGCGTGTAGAAAACTAGCATGGCGGGGAAAGACTATGTTCGACTTCACTTGGCTGTACTTGTTTTCTATTTGGAGTTTTCTAAAAAAAAAAAAAAAGAAACCACAAATGCACAAGTAGTATAGCCCTTTGTGCCATCCCAGGACTCTGTCATGTTCTATGACCTTTTAGAGTCAGCCCTTATATGCTCTGTACTTCAACAGCTGGGAGAGCTGCATGAAGACTAGTAACCTGATACAGAGAATGGAAAGCCAAGTTGGCAATGGAAAGCATTTGTGTGACAGAAGCTACTGCAGAAACCCCAAAGCTTTAGACTGGGGCAAAAACTGCATTTCTGCTTAAGTCTCTGAGGTAAAACCCTGCTGCCTTCAGAATGTATAGATCAGTAGAGCAAATTTCAAAATAGTTTCCTCCCAATTATACTGTGCTCAACGTTCGAGAATGAGTCACCTACCAGATTGGCCACATAAGAAGCGCACTCTGTAGTTATGACAGCCTTTCTCCGTCTGCTCTGGGCCATGGCAAAAAAACCTATAATCATGGCCTTTTTTGTATAGGACCTCAGTTGCCAGTTTCGTTCCCTCAAGTGTGACCGCCTGGGAGGAGAATCAAAACGCAAACACAATAATTGCCAAACGTATGATCATCAAGGATAACAGCTCGCACAACAACAACTGGAACTATAGGCTCAGTAACACTTGTGAGAAGGAGAAAAACAAGCATTTTCTGCCTGGTAACTTCTTATCTAAATCATTGCAGCGAGTTGAGTGGAAGAGGAATTTGTTTCGAAGGCACTGTGACAAACACAGAATGTGTATTTCCCATGATCTCTACTGGGTCCTCCCAGGTCTGAGGTCATAAAATGAGCCTTAACAAGCAGTTCTTGGCTTTGGACCATAGTTATGGAAAACCCATTCAGTGGTGGGATTCAGCTGGTTTGCGCCAGTTCGGTAGAACTGGTAGCTAATTTTTTGTTGCCCAGGCCCAGAATGGACTTCCAGAAGCGGCATCCACACAGAGAACCGGTTGTTCCCATATTTGAATCCCACCACTGAACCCATTCATTTCTTCAACTTAAGATCATCATTAGATGCTTTGTGCTCTAGAACAGTGGTTCTCAACCTTTTTAATGTCGTGACCCCCAACCGGTCGTAAGTCGAGGACTACTCAACTGGTCATAAGTCAAGGACTACTCAACTGGTGCAGCACTGTTTGCAGAATGGGACTTTTGGCGGGCTCAGCAGGGCAGAGACAGCCTGGACAATTCCTATTGGCTTTTGAAAGCCAATAGAATTAGACTCTATTCAAGAGAGTCTATTCTATTGGCTTTCAAAAGCCAATAGAATAAAAGGGAGTAGCACAGCTAAGGAAAAGGGGGGAAAAAATGGCGGACTGAGTTGGTTGGTGACCCCTGTGAAATGGTCATTTGACCCCAAATGGGGACCCGACCCACAGGTTGAGAACCACTGCTCTAGAACATTCCAAGGAAAGTTCCTTACACTTAAAATGGACATTTTTTTTTTTTTTTTTAACTGGTGGCCCTGAAATGCACTTCGGAACGAAAGATTTTATCCACCACCAACTTTTTCTTCTTTTCATCCCAAACCAAAGGCCTTCTAATTGCCCCAGGCTCTTTCGTTATATTGCAAGATTCCTATTTTAAACTGATGGGATGCATAGAAATAACCTGCCAGCTGTTAACACTTCCATCTTTTATTTATTGATGGGATTTTCATCCAGCCTTTATTATTTTTTGTAAATAATTCAAAGCAGGGAATACATTATTTCTTAAGTTTGTACTTGTTCTTGCTCGGGTCAAACTGATTAAACTATGGCATCTTAAGGGACCAGGAAGTGGGTCTTCACATTGGTAGTACCTCTCTCTTCAATGATATCCCCCCTGCAGATCTGTAATCCCACACCTTTTTGATTTTTCACAATTTTTTTTCTCCCAGGCTTTGATTTATGATGTGTTATGGGGCCAGTGTTCTCTTGGTCATATTCCCTTTTCTTTTTTATTATTTTTGAATAATTAGCTACACCGAGTTCCGATAATCAGGTAGCCTCAAAACAGACATATCAAATTCTAATTCTCAAAGATTTTGCCTCATGAATTTAACAGCCTGTAAGTTATCCTGAGACAGGATAGCCTCATCATCACCATCCCATTGCACTTAAAACAGAATATGGGACAAGCAAAATCAAAGTCTGCTTCCATCAAGTGGATACGTGACCAAGCATTTTGACTTGTGCTGGGACTTGTATCAGTAATTTTTTTTTAAAAAAAAAATAGATGTTGGTTCAAATGCCTTTTGACTCAAATCTCCTGATTGACTCAAATATCTTTTTGTTTCATGCTGCCACTTGTTTAAAAGGCACACAGGCCTAATGACACCCAGACTGAAAGCCACGTGCTGAAGACAACTCAGCAAGAAGACCGAGAATAACAATTCTGACAGAAGAATGATCGATTCTAGGTGTATCCAGGAGCAAATCCAACATAACAAGCAGCAGGTTGTTCTCTATGAAAATAATCTATGGGTCACAGGCTCCTTTGATGGCTTGAGGCAAATCTCTTCTTTCAAGTTGCCGTCCCTCAGGGGTGTATTCAAGATTTTTGCTTTGCTTTATTGAGTGATGCCAAGTTCTTCGCGGAAATCTGTGAAAACTTTGGAGCATTTTTGGAACCGGGCAGATTACTGACTCATCGTTGTTAAACGATGATAAATCATTATGAAATGGTTTAGGATGGGATTATTTGTTATGATTGGCAGCGTGGTGGCTTCTGATCCATCCGTGACAGAAGAATGGAATTTTCTTAATTAGTTGGCTTTTCAAAACAGAGGGATTATCGATATCAGACATGGCAGAGAGGACTTAAAGAGTGACTGCACCCAACACACATGTTGCACACATTACCCTCTGCTTGTTCCACGAAAAATTTACCATTGGGTAACTCTGGGCGGCTTACAATTACATCTAAGTTAAAATATTTAAAAGTTAAATTTTTTAGATAGAAAGTGACCACATATGACAGCCAGTAAGAAGTTGTGGTAAAAATTGGACTAGGAGTGGGAAGAGCTGTGCTCTAATCCTCCATTGGACTTAGAAGCTGGGTAGACAAAGAAGGACACAGATCCATTGGAAAGAAAAAGGAGGACATACTAACTGTTTAACTTTCTTGGCATCTGCGACAAAAAAACAGAGCAAAACAGCAAAAACTAAAAATGTACTTGGGTGTACATCTCTCTCTCTCTCTCTCTCTCTCTCTCACTCTCTCTCTCTCTCTCTCTCTCTCTCTCTCTCTCTCTCTCTCTCTCTCTCTCAATAATAGTTTGGGAGGGGAGATGTTCAACTGTTAAAAGTGTTGCTTGAGTAAAGGAAGTGTTCACACAATATAAAAAAGATGTTGAGACTTTGGAAAGAGTGCAGAGAAGAGCAACAAACCTGGGTAGAGGGTTGGAGGCTAAAACATATGAAGAACGGTTGCAGGAGTTGGGTATGTCTAGTCCAGTGAAAAGAAGAGCTAGGGGAGACATAATAGCACTGTTCCAATATTTGAGGGGCTCCTAAAAAAACGAGAGGGGTCAATCTATTTTCCAAAGCACCAAGAGGCCAGATAAGAAACGGTGGATGGAAACTAACCAAGGAGAAAAGCAACCTAGAACTAAGGAGAAATTTCCTAACGGTGAGAGCAATCCACCAATGGAATGGCTTGCCTTCAGAAGTGGTGGGTACTCCATCACTGAAGGTTTTCAAAAAGAGACTGGGCAACCATTTGTCTGGAATGATATAGGGTCTCATGCTCAAGCCGGGGGTGCACTAGTAGATGAGGTCCTTTCCAATTTTATTATTCTATGTTCTATGTTCTGTGTACAGGTTGCATTGGCACTTCAGCTGTAGGATGCAATCTTGTAGGGTGAAAGTTTGGACAGTCATTTGTCTGAAATGAGATAGGTCTCCTTCTTCAGCAGGGGGTTGGACTAGAAGACCTCCAAGGTCCCTTCCAATTCTGTTATTCTATTTTTCTGAAACAGCAAATTTCAAGCGTGACCCAAAAAGCTGGGATCCATGACTCTTAGGTGTTTTCATGCTGGCTGTAGACCACCCATCTCACACCAACCTGTGTAAAACAATACACTTTGCCAATACTGAGCAGAACCCCATCCATCGAAAAACCCAAAGGTCTCATAAACTTCAAAATAAATTATTTCTATTTTCCAGTTTATGATTGGAACAGTAGGTCATGCCAACTGGAAAGTACAGATGGGTGGCTTTTAATGTCTTCCCGTTTTTCATTTTTTCAGATCCAATAGGTTGAAGTCTACTTTTTTTTTTTAAGTTCATTAATGTGCTTAGCTGATCATTTCTCCAGGTTTTTGCTTGATTTTTTTTTTCATGGAGAATTTTGCTAACTGTTTCCCCTAGCAGTATGCATTTGAGTACCATCTTTTCCTGACAATGTAGATTTTGAATATTAGAGATGTTTCTCTAAGAAGAAAACTGAGAATTGGGTTGAAAAATGGCAAAGTGTGATTTTTCAAATGAGGCTTAAGTTTTGCTTCACATATTTGTTCATGCTTCAGTACATTTGCATTCAAATGCAAACCGTACAAATTTCTCTCTCATTCCTATCTGGAGAGAGAACCTCCATCTATCAGCCTAATAACAACAACAACAACAACAACAACAACAACAACAATAACGATAATGATGATGATAATAATAATAATAATAATAATAATAATAATAATAATAATAATAATAATAATAATAGGATGCTGGTAGCAACCCATGTCAACCATCAGGGCCAGCCAATTTGAATGTTCAGTTGACTGAGGTTCATGTCTAATGAATAAAAAATAATAAAACAAAACAACAACCACAATAATATAAATTAACAACAAAATACAATATACAATACAAAATACAATAACATCTGCCCATAGGACCATCCCATTCAAGCACACCCAAAGCAGATAAGATCAAATAAACCTCACTTTTCTCAGATAACTGCAAAAAAAAAAAAAAATCTACAGCCCCCAAAAATCTACAGTATAGAGAGAATCAAATTATGGGAAACAGGTATAATGATAGAGCAGGGTTCCCAAACTTGGCAACTTTAAGACTGGTGGACTTCAACTTCAATATGACTGGCTGGGCAATTCTAGGAGTTGAAGTCCACCAGTCTTAGTTGCCAAGTTTGAAGACCCCCTACGAAAGAGGATGATTACTCCGTATGACATACCTGGAGATCGATAGGATGATCACAGATTTCTGGGTGAGCAGCTCTTAAATCAGAGAGTCTCTCTCCATCTTTGGATTTTGATATTTTTGGCTTCTCAAACCATTCAGTCCACTCAACATCTGGGGAAAAAAAGAGAAACAACTCAAATTAAGGTCATTTTGGACACAACGGGCCTTAACGAATGCTGGAAAAAATGTGCTGCTCCATAAATGTGCCAAAAAATATTAGCAAATCTGCTTAAAAGCTACCCACTCCTGGTGTTTTCTCCAGGTCATCAGATGATGTCCCAAAACACATCAAGCTATTTGGCCTTTGAAGGACAGGCTGGAGAAGAAGAGACATGGCAAAACCAAAATTAATGGGCCCAGGATGGTGCATTTATGGTTTACTGGTTGATTTCAAGATATAATATTGCAGAGATTCTAATGACAACATAACCAAATAAAGATTAATCTGAGTGTTCTAGCGCAGGGGTCCTCAACATTGGCAACTTTAAGTCTTCTGGACTTCAAGTCCCAGAATTCTGGGAGTTGAAGTCCACAAGTCTTAAAGTTGCCAAGGTTGAAGACCCCTGTTTTAGCCAATAAGCGACATTCTTTTTTCATTTTGATTTATGTTTATTCCAAACGCATCCACAGCTCCTAAAATAGGGCTCTCATGAGAAATTGACAAAATTAGGATGTCCAAAGTGGACAGTTGATGAGGGATTAGAGCAACATCTCAAGCTTCTGGAGGACCGCATAAGACCACCTGGTCATGCGACTACAATCTGAGTTTGGGTGTCTGAGTATCTCTTCTGAGCATCTGGAGGGAGAAATGAGTTTAAGACTAAGAGAAAGAATTTGCCTTGAGGCCAATTGCTGCTAGGCATCTCTAAATTTAGCTCCAGATTTAATGAATTTCTCTGTGGGGTGCTACAAATGGGTGCTGGAGGGCTGCCTGAGCTGTGGTGGTACAGTGGTTAGAATGCAGTATTGCAACTTATTGAGTTCACTGCTAGCAGTTCGATCCTGACCGGCTCAAGGTTGACTCAGCCTTCCATCCTTCCGATCCAGATTGTTGGAGGCAAGAGCCTGACTCTGTAGACTGCTTAGAGAGAGCTGTGAAGTGGTATATAAGTCTAAGGGCTATTGCTATTGCTTACAGTCATTGTGTCAATAGCTGGTCATCACTGGTCTGGCTGTGATGAAATGAAGCTATCAATTCCTTTGTGCAGCATCAAAACAGCTTGTAAAGCCCCTGTCTACTATGGGACCAAAAGGTGGAAATTCAGTGGTTCTCCCACTGTTGCTGAGCATCTACGTACATCAGAGCCAATGCTGAGGGATGTTGGGAGTTGTAGTTCAGCTTTAGGTTGATTTTTGCATGTTGGGGGTTGAAGAATATTTCCCACTCTATTGGTAACTGCATTGCAAAAACCTCACCTTGAACCCACTCACTGGTTGAAGACACATTGAAACGCTCTCCGTTTTCTGCCTGGAACAATTTGAATACTTTGGCTAGAGCTGAAGTTCTGCGTCCTGCAAAAAAAATAATAATAATCCAAAAATACCCAAACGGAAAGCAAGAGAAGAACTTCTTAGCAATCCTCAAAGCTGCAGTTAGTTATGGAGAAGCTGTCAACAATTCAGTCTTTATGTTTCTTTGCGGGATTTAGAACACACACATGAGGGACCTGCACAATTTTAAATGCAAGCGCTAAATATCAAAGTGATTGTTTACATCATCTCTTAAGCAGAGTTAATTGTCAGCCTGAAAGGGAGTGTCTGCAAATTCAGCAGAATGAGGGGTGGGTGGGGGAGGAAGGAATATGAATTACTTAATCTGGTTGCAGAATAGATACAAAGGGACTTAAAGTGGAAGGCTTAAAGAGGTTCCAAACAAATCAGCTGCAGAGTAAAAATATAGGGATAAGAAGGTTATTCTAGTCACCTTTTTAAATAATTCCACCAGGTTTTCACTCAGTTTTAGCAAGGAACAAGACGTTTCCCTCAAATAAAGTGAGGAAAGCTACTTTTTCCTACCTTTCAAAATACAGTTACATTGCAGTTTGGAGACATTTCTAGGAACTAGCAACAATCCATTCCTAGTTTCTGGAATTGTTAGAAACAATTTGTGAGCTTGATGGGAGCCAGTAGGGAAGACAAATTTTGCAAAATAACTTGCATGAATCGAAGTTTAACATACTGCAAAGTAAATGTTAAAATAAATTCTAAAGCGAGGAGGAGGAGGAGGAGGAGGAGGAGGAGGAGGAGGAGGAGGAGGAGGAGGAGGAGAAGAAGAAGAAGAAGAAGAAGAAGAAGAAGAAGAAGAAGAAGAAGAAGAAGAAGAAGAAGAAGAAGAAGAAGAAGAAGAAGAAGAAGAAGAAGAAGAAGAAGAAGAAGAAGAAGAAGAAGAGGAGGAGGAGGAGGAGGAGGAGGAGGAGGAGGAGGAGGAGGAGGAGGAGGAGGCAGCTCTTTTGGCAAAGAAGGAAAATTTGGGGGAAATTTGAAAATGGGGTTCAGACCATAATATGAGAGACACACTATCAAGACACACCATTGGAGCAAAGAATGCTTTAGTCTCCAATCTCCTACTAGAATTGTGACCTTGTAGGAAGCTACCCATGAAATTTACTCTACTCATGAAGGTGAGGTGTGCAAACAAAACAGAACAGCATAAATTGGCACGTTTGGAATTTACTGCAATAACAAAGTTTCTTTTCCCAAACTCAGCTTCACTTTATGGTTGAGCCCTAGCCTGTCCCCAAAGTGTCACTTATTGAAGATAAATCAGGATCTCGATGCGGAATTTGAAGTTAGTTTACCATCCAGAGTTTCTGCTGCGATCTGGGGCTAGGCATGAATCATGGATGATTAGCTAAGCATAGTTGGAACCCTTGCTCTTCCACAAAAGACTAGGACAGGGGAGAACGGGCAAGAACATAAGAGGCCGAGATACTTCAGCAGATAGGATTCAAAATCAGAGAAAGGAATCTAAATTTTGGGTCTGGTACCTCTACAAAGTCAAGAATACGATGACAGTAATCCTTCCAGTAATTCTGGCCACTGCTTTAAATGTGTAGCCTTTCATTTCCAGAAAGTTCAGCCTGAATTTTGAGAACTGAAGCCCATCCGTCTAAAAAAACATCCAGGCTGGAGAAGACGGATGTAGGTTCTCCATTGCAGACAACATAAACCGTGGCTTCGAATAATACCTGAAGTAGCTCAATACCTTATGCCAAAATGCCACTCAATACAATTTAACTGCCATTATTTGAATGGCCATATCTTGGTAATTACCTTGATATTCAACATGATCTTCCACAGATGACAAAGGTTTTCCTTTGACTGTAATAAAGCTCCAGGGATGCCTGTGGAATTAAAAACAACACAGACACTCGGTATTACTTCTTTGTAAGAAATATATGCATCTTTTTTCAAATATGGCTTGTTTTGTTCTCTTTTCACAGCTCCCCAGACAGACTAAACTTTGAGATTAAAAAAAAAAAAGTGAAGCTAGACTCCTGGTGCCTGCATCCAGCTGTTTTCCTGGCAGCTCGATGGAAGTGGTTTGCCATTGCCTTCTGTTGCAGTGTGTTTCTGACTTCCCAAGTCTAGCTAGCTCCAACCTGGCTGAAGTCAATGGTGCCTCTGCACTTATTCACGCACAAACATATTTTCCAAGAATGGTTAGAAAGCCAGAAAACCTTTGCTTATCTTAATGAATTTATTTCCTTCGGCTTGCAACAAAGCAAAGAGTTACGACTTCTAAGGATTCCATCATGCAAACGCCTTACAGCATAAACCTCGACCGTTTCCAAGCTGACAAAAATCCAGCTTTGGATGAGGAAGTTCTCAGAACTTCTTCAGACGAATCCCAACAGGGATCAAACCAGAAGGAACTAGCTCTGCAGAGATTAGCAGTTCCAAATTCGTAGAAATGCCTTTCAATGAACTGAAAATATCTGGCTTTTAATTCCACTCTCTGGAAGAATCAAGACTAGGCAAATGATGGAGCAGGATACAAAGAGGGAAATTATAGGAAACTTAGAGGCAGGCCCATTTTATTGATTAATTGACTAAATATTTCTCTCTGGGTGTTTTAATAAATACGTGTCTGCCTTGAACTCTTGGAACTCTGAAAAGTTAGCAGGGATGTTTATAGATCGTTCTAAAATCTAGATGAGTAATATGCGCATGTGGTTTTTTTTCTTAATATATTATTTTTTTGCCATTAACTTTTTTAAACCAGACAGTTGCAGAGGTTACTAAGAACACAAGTAGGAGGACACAGATTTGGGGGGGGGGGAATAACCAGACATAAACAAGAAGAACTGAAAATTCTTTGTCCTACCAGAGTTTGCTCTGCTGTTTCAAGCAACAACTTCATGAATTAATAGCATTGGCCACTACCAAATGAGAAGGACCTGGTGGGAAATTCAATACAGCCTACAGGATTCTAACTGGGATTCCAAAGTTTAAGAAATCAGAGGAAAAGCGACACATTATTGAGCATAAGATTTATAGACCTTTCCATCATCGCCCTATTTAAGTTTGCTTCTCTGTGTGGTCAGATGGCTTTGGATTCCATTAGCTGCATTCTTCATTCCAAACTGGCTGTTTATTCATCATCCTTAAAGTAGGTTAGACGGCCATTTTTGCCCAATGCTACTTGACAAGAAAAAAAGGCAACGGGTTTAATTGAGAAGGAGAAGGGAATCTGCACATGGATATTGCTTGATTCTGAGAGGCAGTTTGGCCTACTCAGTGTAGGGAGAAGATGGCTTATTGAACAGAACAGCCCAATGTAATGGGGGACATAGCAGAACATCATCTCTGGTCATTTCAGCTCTAGCCTAGAATATCTACATAGCCACAAACAGATTTAAGACCAACCTCCTCTTGTTATTCCTGATCTTATGCCAAGAGAGTGCTAACCATTAGTTGTATAGATTCCCATGCCTAGGAATGACTGGTAATAAATCACTTTAATTAGTACATCATATGTGGCCCTGATCTTTTCCATCTAACAGTGTTCATGTGAATTGGATGCAGACAGAGGTGACAATTGCCTAGCCATCAGTGTCTGACATAGCAATCTCACCCCCCTTTATAACTACAATTCACATTCCCTTTTCATGGACAGGTCAAGCAAAGTTGCCCCAAAGTTCTTCTGTTTATGGTTCTGTTCTATAAGGCATCCCTGAATACACAATAAAGTCAATCAGCTGATTGACAAGCCACCCATTTTTACTGTCTGCCTTGGACAGTAAAGACAGAAAATTGTTAAGCAACTGGCAGGCGACAAGTACACGGCTGGCCCTTCTCCATTTGGCCGGAGAACTACATGTTACTTTTTTAAAAATAAGAAGAAAAAGAAGAAAAAAAGAATGACAGAAACTGAAGGGAAGGATTGATGAGGAGAGAAAGTGGGAGAAAGTGCTTGGAATGGTGGGGGGCCCTGGGGAACCCTTTGCTAAACCCCCTCCAATTAGAAAAATCACTAATTGAAACCACCAATGGCAGGAAGAGTTAGCCCATGGTTAAGACTGAGCCTGTAGTTAGAGCACAAGGACAATGGCAGCATCCCAAAGCTACAGCAATGGCTAGAATGCCTTAAAGCAAAAAATATGTTTGCACTTGACAAATTGGCAGACGGAAGAGAACTTGTCACTCTGCCTGGAATCGCTTGATTTCTTGTCTTCAAGGTACAGATATTGGACAGGATTAAGAACGCCGTTTTCTCCAACGGCAATCATCGTTTTGGTTTCAATCAAAACTGTGAAGGCTGCCCAAGATGAGGGATGTCTAATTAGAACAATTCTGAGCAATAATATCCCTGGAGGGGGTTGCTTGGAGTTGCTATCCCGAGCAGAAAGAAAGAGGGGGGAGGGGAGAGAGAGAGAAAGCTCTGCCCACGTGAAACCAGGGCTGCTTCTGGATAGGATTTGGACCTGCCATGGAGAAAAGGAATTTGGAAAAGCTGTGAACTGTGTCCAGATGAGTGGGATGGACAAGTGGGAGAAACTGCAGGTCAGCCTCCTGGAAGGCTGGGAGAGGATTTGCTCCCATCCTTGCAATCATCCAACCCAGCCACAAATACTTGACAGAACTAGATCAGCTAAGAATTCATTCTAAAAACAAACAAGCAAAACACTGGAGAGGCAGTGTTGTGTACTGGCTAAAGTAAAGCTCACTGGGTGACTTCAGGCCAGTCAGTTGCTCTCATCCAAGCTTACTTAACAGGGTGAGGATTTCTGGGGAAACAATGGAAGAGGGAGTGTTGTTTATGCCACCCCCAGAAAAAGCAGGGTGTCATAAACACTCCCGCAACTAGAACTCCAAAACTAAAGCGAGGAACCACAGGCAAAGCAACCGCTTGTGTTGCAATCCTCTCCAGGCTTATTCATAAGTAAGGCAGGCAGCCTACTCCCAGGAAAAGTGCTTCCTTAAGATTGCAGCTCATTTTTTCTTTCCTCATAACAAAAAGACCAGTCTGGGAGGTTGAGGGTGGTTGGTTTAATCAAGATTACTCAGCCTTCAGAGTGTAAATTGGCTGATGGGTCAGAATTCCTGCAGTTTGTTTTTTTGGGGAGAGGAGGGTAAAAGACAGGGAATTGGCTCTGGTGGAATCCCATAAGAAATGGCTTCTTATTGATGGAGACCAGGGATCCATCACTGTCTCAATAAGGAAAAGGCAACTTTTCTATGGTTAGGAACGTTGAGAAACTACTATAGGTTTGACTGTCTACCTACTGTCAGATTCCTGAATGGGAAATAATTCCGTATATGATAGACTTGCGGGGCCGGCGCATTGTGCAATAAGTTCACATGGTGTAATAAGATAGTGGGTTTGTTGTCACTGTGAGTTGTGTTGGGGGCGGGCACGAAGGGAGGCTCAGCTAATCTCATTGTACACATGTTGCACTGACAATAAAGGTTGATTTGATTTGATTTGATAGAATTGAGAATGAACTACACAGCTCTCACCAAATGGTGAACAGGAAACTGTCAGCCTTGTGAGGTAGCCTTCCAGGCAGGAAGCATGCCCAGATGAACCAATTCTACCTTATTGTACAGTTAGATTAACAGAATCTTGCAAGTCTGAAAATACACACACACACACACACACACCGGTTGCCTTTACAGCCCAAGAAACTATGGAGGGTCCTGCAGGCTCAGCTGACTCTTATCTGTCTGTCTCCCTGTCTCTGAATGTCATTCTTATATGCCATTACAGAAACCAATGATTCCATTTAAGCTTTAGTAGAAGCACAAGGCCTCCTATTCCAGCAGAACTACTGTATCCTGTTTTGGGCAGTTGGGCAGGTCTCCAAAAGAAACTATGCGATGCAACCACTCTAATTTCTGTTTTCACTGCGGTCCCTGTGGAGCTTGAAGACGCTATTATATGCACCAAGATGATGCTATGTGTTAGTGATTTCCTGTGCAATGTGCGAACTTCCTGTTTCACATCCTTTGAGCTAGAAGAAACTTGCAAACGGTCAGGATTCCTAGAGAGGCAAAGGATACAATCATTGGGTGCATTGATACCCATGGCCATTATGCTTTCTCGTGGAGCCCCACAACTGCTCTACAAGATCTTGGAGGATGTTTAGAGCCTTCTGTGGAAATATCCAGGGGACTGAACATGGGACCTTCTGCATGCAGTATTTCTGAATAGTCCGATTTGCTCTGATTCATTCAATTTTGAAGCATTCCTTCAAAACTGGACCGGTTTTGGTCCAACTATGTGGCTGAACCCATCTCAAGCAGCGTCCTTGGCCTCTGAGTACTCTCAGATGAAAAGGAAGAAGAGGGAAATTCACTGTGAGAGATGTTTGTCCTGCTGGGCGGAGGCTGAGGGGGGGGGGAGAAAGTGGAATTATTTTAGATCCAGGAAAAGCACAATAAGGACTTTGTGTTGTAACCCTGGCAGGACAAGCTCCTACCTAAAGCCAAGGTGGAGAAAATGCTTGCTGCCCAGTTTGGTCATTGCTTTCCTGGCCAAGTCGTCCAAATTCTTGGAGCCTTCGTCATTGACCGCAACCGACAAGATCATGCCGTCCTCCACAGCGTTCAAATATTGCACAAAACGGAGGCTTTCGCTTTTGAGTTTGTAGGTGTCAAATCTGAAGGAACACAGACGGACATGTGAGAAGTAGAAATATCTGCCTTTGCCATGTTAATTCACGGCACCCTTGAAGATGCCATCAATGCTTGTTTTCACACTCAAGAGAAGCCAACTCTGCAGGGTAGAGTGACCTGCAGGTATCAGATAACTCACATTCATCCCATCTTAGTAGATTTTTCTTGCCATTATATGGGAGTACAAGCTTTGGCCTAGGAACCAAATGCATTCCTCCCTTCCTTTCTATCCTTTAAGCCTTTAGCTTCAAGTGTGTTTATCTTTTACTGCTTTCACGATCATATCGTTGATATATATGATTCTACCGGAAGTGCTTATTCATTTTATGATGCTGCTCTAGTCCATAATTAATTGACTCGCTCAAACCACTCTCCGTGCATTCTACAGCCCCTCTCTTCTGTTCCTGCCTATTTTCAGGAAGTTAAACACTGTAATTTTAAGCCTGATAAAGTAGAAGGGGCAATCAACTTCAGAATGAAGTTTAAGAAAAAATGTGGGTTTGACCTCCAGCCAAACTCCCTGACTAAACCACACCCGTTTCCCCCCTTCTATGTTCACCTGCAGCCTTGTCCCATTCCAAGATCTAAATATATTGTATCCTGCATTCACAAGCTATGTTTGCACAACACCCTTGACCAAGTCAGGTAGGGAAACAGTCAGTGGATTTTTCACAACATACAAAACTTGATTAGTATTAACCTTACTTAGCTCTTATTCTGGTTTTGCATATTGTGTGAATTTAGTCCAGTGGTTCTCAACCTGTGGGTCGGGACCCCATTTGGGGTCGAACGACCATTTCACAGGGGTCGCCAAACAAGGCTGTCCGCCATTTCCCCCCTCCCCTTTTCTTTGGCCACCCCCCTGGTACCCAGTGATGTATAAGTGGTTGGGGGTCACCACAACATGGGGAACTGATTATGGGGTCACGACATTAGAAAGGTTGAGAACCACTGATTTAGTCTATTGGGTTTAATGCACCATGCAAAATGGATTAAGGGTAATTAGGGAGCATGTTGGTCATGAAATGTGGGAGACAATGTTGTATTGGGACTGGAGATCCAGGTTCAAGTTTACTCGCAGTGCAACCTAATTCACAAAGTGAGAGTGATAATGGAGGGGAAAATATGATGCACGTTGCCTTAAAATCCTGAAGGAAAGATAGGATATAAACTTAACAACTGCACAAACTGTGCAAAACATACACACAATTTCTTTTTAGTGGGAGTGCCACAATCCTATATATGACTTGTTTTCTATTCTATTTCAATTAAATTTCCTTGGACTTCTCAAATTAGTTCACAAGAAGGAACATTAACGCACTCTTGAAAATGACACGAGCACATCCAAAACTTAAAACCACCAGCAAATCAACATTTATTTAAATGATTGTCTTTGTGGGAGCATCTTCAGGCTGTTAACTTCAGGAAAACTCTCTCGTGGGACCAGATCCCACCAATAGCCTATAATTAGTGCCTGTGGCAGCCAGTGTATCATTTAAAAAAATATAGCACAACTTATTAATGGTGTTTTTGCAGTTCTGTTTGGACCATGAGGTCAGAGTGACTAATAGTTTGTTTTTGACCTCTGGAAAACAATATCAAGAAGAAAAGAGAAATGCTTGCTTGCATTAGCTGAAATAGAGAAAGATTTTGAACTCTAGACTTACCGATCAGAATGGATGACAGCTGCAGTCTTTGGATCAATGACATGGACAATGATACCACGATGTCCCCAGCTTCGTTCGAAGTAATATCCCCCTTCTTCCAATCCCCCTGGATTCAGAGTCTTGTTTAAGAAAGTCCAGGACAGCTTTCTCTCACCGTGAACCTCAAGAGTTCCACCGTTAATGACGCCAATGAATTTTCGCCCAAAGTAACTGTCAGGCTGGCTGCCATCATCAGCCCTGTGGAGTTAATTTGAATAGCATTTTTTTCTCAACTTTGGGAATTTGCTGTACAGCAATAGTCAAAGTGCCAAAAAATAAACAAGAGTGTACTATAAAGCCATCGGTTCAAATAATCAAATAAAGGATGATTCATTGATGATTAAATATTTTCTGAAAGCAGCAGAAAATAAAATCAGGAAAATAAAGGAAATCCATTTATGATGTTGCAGCAGAAACTGGAAAGGCCACCAGAAAAATAAAATTAGAACAGAATAGAATAGAGCAGAGCAGAGCTGGAAGGGACCTTGGAGGTCTTCTAGTCCACTCCCCTGCTCAAGCAGGAGAACCTATACCATCTCAGACAAGTGACTGTCTAGCCTCTTTTTAAAAATCTCCAGTGATGGAGTGCCCATGATTTCTGGAGGCAAGCTGTTCCACTGGTTAATTGTCCTCACTGCCATTAGGTGTCAAAAGAAGCATGCTTTGTGAACCAAGAATTACATAACAGGGAAAGCTACTATTAGATAACTAGTAAGTGGCAAAAAGATTCAAACAAATCTTAGTCAGATAATCCAGATGTGAAGAAAACTTCCAAACAGCTCTACTTGCCCCCGAAGATATATCTTTGAAAGTACTATTCTGATTCTCAATGTTACAATCTCAGAATCGCAAACGTTTGTAACCGAGTCTCCAAATATTAACCTGAGGGTTGGGTTGATTAGGAATATATAAGAAAAGAGTTTTGTCTGGGCAATGATGGGTCACATCTAACCTAGACCTTGCCATTGGCGCTTCAAACTAAAATCCTTCACCAGAAAAACTAGGTAATTTTAATTGCATCCTATCTTAATAACCTTTAATTCAGTCTGTTTTTATTCTTGGGGGTAACCGTTCTGATTTGTAATCATTCTACACATTTCTGCAGGGTCCAACTTTGAACTTGGACCTGTAGCTGCAAAATGAAGTATCCTCTGATAAGCATCCTTCTTCTCAGTGCATTGTAGTAATTTGGGTGTCTAATGCACCAGATCTCTGCTCCTCCATCCATCCATCCATCCATCCATCCATCCCCCCCAAAAAAAAGCCTTGTGGAGCTAATCTTCAAAATTATGGATGAGGTTGGTTTAATTACATACCGTCCATATAAGATGATTGTCAGGCTGTTCCGGAAAGGGCAGTTCTCACTCCCAATATTTAGTTCTCCATCATTTTCTATCCGTATATGACGAGTGCGCAAAACAATGGGGACTGTGTTATCTTTAATCACTAGTTTTCCTAACAGAGGAGAAGCAAAAGGGGTATTTAGTTGGTTGATTTAAAACTGTACCATAAAGTTAAGGTTTTCCTTCTATATTATCCATGCTTGGATTTCTCGGCTGTGCCTCTTTTGAAGGAAGGCAAATGATAAACATGGTCTATAATGCGTATTTTTAAACTTCTGATTTTTTTTCTTCTCCTTGCTGGATTCTCTCTAAACAAATTCTCTACAAAGAAAGGCTTTCTCTTTTTCAGCAGGAAAAAAAAAAAAAATCATTGTCTGTATAATCCACAGATAATTCACCCACAGCTTTGGTTTCTGATCCACATGGTTGACTCTTTCTTCAGAGCTAGGCGTCATCCAAATTGGGTGAAGTGTGAACTAAGTGGATTGATCAGACTTCTATATTACAGAACAGAAATGCGAGCAATAAATTAAAAATGTTTTACATCCTTCTCTTCTACAAGACAAGTAGAGAGTAAGAACTTACACGGGCCAGGTCTGTTGGCACCACTAGCCAACAGTGCCTTTTTTTATAGCAGACTGTGCCTTTACCCATCCTATAATTATGGACTCTCACTGAACCATTAGGAGGACATTGAAAAAGGAAGTGGAAAAGAAACACAATAATCAAATTTGCAATTTCTCCAACTGGGACAACAACACAAGCTTAGCTTAACTGCAGACAAGGTAGCTGATGAAATATATTCCCCAGAATTTCCACCCTGATATTGACCAAAGTTGGTTTTATCCATATTAAAATTAACACTGTTTATCTTGACATTGCTATATTTGTACCTGCATTATATGATTTCTCTTTGTCTTTTAATTTAGTGGGGAGCAGTATTCCAACATAAATCTCCCCATAAATAGAGGCCAGCTTTCATGAGAGGAAATCCAGCAAAATGTTTACTAGATGATGCTGTTTATATAAACCTGCCCTTGGTATAAATAACTGAAAATGTCTATACCAAATCCAGTCATTAGCCAAGAAAGCAATGTAATATTTACACCTGGCACCAGCAAACTAGAATACCAGAGAGAGGCATGCAGCCTTGCTTGCTGAGATCCTGGGAGTAAGGAAAGTGCTTTTGTTTTAGAACAAATTAAAAAGGAATTTTGCATTCATTCCAAAACAAAGGTAATAAATAATGGAATAAGTATGTTTATCATAGCTTGCATTGATACCTGTCTGGATGGGAGTTAAAACTTTCCTCTAACAGCAATGAAATTTAAATAAAGTGGGTTCCCAAAGGCTGTCGTATTATTGCTCCCAAATGGTCCCTCATTCCAACTTAATTGTCCCAGAATGCCCAAAGCATTTCATCACTCTATTCAATAATGGAGAATGAGATGGCTGGATGGAATCACTGAAGCAGTAGGCGTGAACTTAAATGGACTCCAGAAGATGGTAGAGGACAGGAAGACCTGGAGGAACGTTGTCCATGGGGTCGCGATGGGTCGGACACGACTTCGCAATTAACAACAACAACATTCAATAACAATCTTGGCAACTTGAAGATGTGGGGATTTCAGCTCCCAGAATTCCCAAGCCAGCATGAGTTGAAGTCCAGAAAACATCAAGCTGCCAGAGTTGGAAACTCTGTTCTAGGAATCTGGAAGAGGTGGATTCAGCTGTCATCCTAAATACTTTAATATTTAACCTAAATAAGAAATTACATGCTTATTAGCTCTGGTGGTGCAGTGGTTAGAATGCAGTACTACTTCTGCTGACCGCTGGCTGCCAGCAGTTTGGCAGTTTGATCCTGACCAGCTCAGGGTTGACTCAGCCTTCCATCCTTCCAAGGTCAGTAAAATGAGGACCCAGATTTTGGGGGGACAAGATGTTGACTCTGTAAACCACTTAGAAAGGGCTGTGAAGCACTGTGAAGCGGTATATAAGTCTAAGTGCTCTTGCTTTTGCTATTAGAATAAAATAAGATCCGGCATCAGATAAAGAGGGGTTTCATTAAAAAAAATCAAGAAATGAATGCAATTTTTAACATCACTTTAAGAATATTAAGCTTATTTCCATTTAGGGAAGGTCTTTATAAAGCAAATGAGCAATCCTTTCTGCACTACTGAATATAGCACAGATGCTACAGCTTCTCATCAGACCAGGCTTACCTCCATTTGTGATGACGATGGAATGAACGGTGGCAGAAGAAGATAAGAGAAGCTTCTGGCCTTGGCTAATGTTCACGTGATTCCCTTCATCATGTCCTGGCTGCCAGAGTTCCAGTTCTGGATCCAAATGAGGACAAGGTGGGACCATTCCTGTTGGCACACACAAAGGAAACATGGACTTCTTTATCTGGTACATAGAACACAAGTCCATGAAGCTTAGAGGACAATGGAAGCACTTCTGCATGCCTCTCCTCTGCTTTCTTTCTCCTTTCTGCTTTCTATTTCCATCTTCTTTCTTCCTTCATTATTCACTCTTATTGCCCTTGTTTTTTCTAATGTTTGTATTTGTATCGTGTTAAAATTTTCTTCAATATAAAGTATATTTTAAAAAGAGAGGACCGATTCCTGATACGTGGACAATGGAGGAGCAGTTTCAGGAAATAAAAATCTCTCATTCTAATGTAAATATTTTTGTGACGTCAAAAGTCTGTTGGAAGGCTAAATGTCAGACTAGCAGGACACGTTGACCCACTCAAAAGAGTGAAGTCTGGCCACTCTATGTTCACTGGCTCACTATCCTCTAGATCTCCAGGAAGGCATTCCAGAGGTATACTTAGAAAATAAAAGGGTGGTAATTGTCTTCTGATAAAAGAGTGTTTTATGACTGCCCCACCCCCACTATTTTACAAGAGGTCCTAAACAGGCTTTCAACATTCCAAAGTTGGGCATTTCTAGTGTAGAATATTCCTACTTTGGCTCCTGTGAGGAAAGGCCCAGATGACTGAACAGAAGGCACATTTTAATAGGCAACCATCAAAAGCCTGTAATTCAAGGGTGGGTTGGGGACAATTTTAAGTCGCACAGATGGTTAATGGCCAAGCTTGGAAGATAAATCAAAGAACGGATTGCAAACTGCAGTCGGGGACAGTGACAGTTTTACAACCCTTATCTTAAGTGTCTCTTTCTCTTTGTCCATTCTCTATTTGCCTCCTGACACAAATGAAACCTCTCATCCAGTGCAAATGTCCCCATGATTTAATACTCAGCTAGGAACCGGCCCTCCCCCCCATCTTTCACAAGATCCAATCAAGAAACCTACCGACTTTTCAGTAGACACAGAAATAGGAAAAGAAACAGATAAGCTTTAATTGTAGCTCAGGACATCTTACAAGTGGGAGCACACACTTTTTTAAAAGTCAGAGAAAATAAACAGGTAGAAATAAGGCCACGAAAACAGGGCTGATGTTAGTATGGCAGTGTTTTTTTAATGTCTGTCATGATAAACCGGGAGAGATATTAAATGGATGTTGCTTTTAACCTAGGAATTTTGTTCGTTGACAAACAACAGCTTGCAACAGCTCTTACCCATATGTTGAGCGGGTAGCATTAATAAGACAGAAAGCGTGCTGATGGCCAGGAACATCATTGGATGTATAAAGGTCTCTTGATCTTTTTTGTCCTCTGCAAACCTGCAAACAGGAAGAATCAGACCAAGAGGAATCATTTAGCATTTGTCTGTGTATGTTTCATATAAAAAAGGGAGCATCAAGCAAGATTAAGCTTGACTATATGACTAAGTAATATGTTAATGTATCCCTTTTCTTAACTTGGCTGCACAAAGGTAAAAAATATGCTTTTATATTCACCCACACCGGCTCACCTTTTTATGCACCCTTTGCGTGGGCTTAGTATTAAAATTACTTGGCATTATAAATACACAGAAGGAAACAATGGCGATAAATGCCTTGCGTAAGTACCACCAATTCATGTGGTGAAAGATTCATGTGGAAACAAGAGAATTTAGTCTCAAGTTATCCCCAGCTTCAAAATCTATTTCAGCTTTAAGTGTGTATATCTTAAAGCTCACACCCTTGAAACAAAAAGAGTGGTGTGATCATAAACCACACAAAGAAGGAGCATTTAAAAACTTTTAAGATGAAAGTCAATTGCACACACACACACACACACACACACACACAAAAAAAACAATCCAAGAATTGTGCAGCTCTTTCAGATGCAAAGTTTATTATATCTTTCTTATTTATTTATTTCATTTCATTTCATTTCTATGCTTCCCATCTCTCTAGAAAATGACTTTCGTGATAAACTGGGAGATATATTAAATGTATGTTGCTTTTAATTTGAGAATTTTCTTCATTGAAATAGTAAACCATTAATATCTCTGGGCTAAATTCAATAAATTAAAAAAATATTTTTGAGAAAAGATTAGATAGATAGATAGATAGATAGATAGATAGATAGATAGATAGATAGATAGATAGATAGATAGATAGATACATAGATAGATACATAGATATGATATCTAGATCGAAAAATATATTCAGCACATTTTCAAAAGGTCATCAAATATAATTCGAACCTCAATGAATAGAGCATAATCATAAACCTAATATAGCAGAAAGAGAAATATTTCAGAATTTAAAAATTTAGGAACAAGAAAACAGAAGAATGCCTAGTGGTAGTCCTCCATTAATGGATACCCCAGTAAAGAAAGTCTTCTTCTCCTCCTGTCCTCCATCAGATAGTCAAGGCATCCAGAGGAGAAATTTGGAATAAAATCTTAGTGAAAGGGTGGGCTATCTTATTTTTTTTTTCTTGCGGATTACTCCATATGGCCACAGGTGTGGCTTGGTATGAGAGGGTGGTGTGAAGGAGCCAATATCCACCAGGATTGAGGAAAGACAAAACTTTCATTTCTGTGCAGAAGCAGAAGAGTTTCACACCCAAGGAGTGCATTACAAAAAGGCATAGTTATTTTTACACAATTTGCTATAAGAAACAAACGAGGAATGCTGATTGATTCATGGCAGTCGCACATGCTCACAAAACAAAGACATATTTAATTCCGCTCCATTATCATGTAAATCGACTACCTTGTACGGGTAATTTTTTTTTTTTACTATTATAAGGATGAACTTTCCTTTCTTCTGAACACTTGTTCAGATTGCCCTAAACACTGTTTTTAAGCTAAATATCGTGACACCTTCCTAGACTTTAGTAATTTGCAAGGTATCATAGCCAAGTGTCAAAACCACAACCTATTAGCCACAGAAACATCTGTGGTCAACCTATGACATGTTATAGAAGTGTTAAAAAAAGTGTTAGGCAAGACGTGTTATAGAAGTGTTAAAGAAGTGTTAGGCAAAGACAAAACTAAAAGCTAATGTTAACTCATAGCTTCAAAAGCCTGAAATTACTTTTCTATTACCTATTCCCTTAGCTTCTTATGACTATAACTCTGTGATTTGTATCTCATGATTTATCTTGATTCCTTTTATAGTACCCTATTGTTGATTGATTATTTAGTATCCTATGACTATCACTGAGTGTTGTATCATTTGATTTATGATAATTGTATTTTATAATTGTGATCGTGATTTATCACTTGTTGCTTGTATGTACACTGAGAGCTTAGGCACAGGAGACAAATTTCTTTATTGGTCACACTTGACCAATAAAGAATTCTCTTCTCTTCTCTTCTCTTCTCTTCTCTTCTCTTCTCTTCTCTTCTCTTCTCTTCTCTTCTCCTCTCCTTTCTCTTCTCTGCTGTTCTGCCAATAAGCCACCAGGCCCTCAAGCTGGAGAGGTGTCTTATCTATAAGTAAGAATCAGGCAATTTTCCACTTGTCCTATAATATTTACAGGAATAATTAGTGTGAGGGTTGAACCATGTCAACACTGAGTGGCACCATGAATAAAACTAGGTGATGCCATCCTTTTTTCTCCTCTTTGGCATGCTTTGGCACGCTTCCCTCACTTTTGGCATGCTTCCCTCACTTTTCTTGACATTCCCTTTATTCCCTCTCTTCACCTTTCTGATACCATCTTTCCTTTCTCTCAGCTCTTACAAAACAGAGCAGGTAAGTTGCTTTCCTCAGACGTATGAAGTCCCTACTTGCAAAGAGCTTTTGAAATTGTGCCAGGAGCCTTTTGTGATGGTTGGCCTGATATATGAGAATGCACTTCCTCAAGCTTAATTCAAAGCCAACATTTCTATATCCATAGTAACAAGGAATCTGGACGCCAGGATCACTTCTTTCACCTAGAGTTTCCTTGCTCCTTGAACCTCCAACTAATTCATTGTTTAGATGATTAGTATCATTTGTATTTTAAAGAATGGCTGTCCAAACCGGTGGTCAAGGCAGCCGCAATTTCCAATTAGGAGACAGAAATGGATACTTGTATTTGCATCACGCAAGGGAGAGACAGTTCTAATATCTTGCTCCAAGCTAGCACCCTTCAGATCTCTTAAAATCACATCTGTACAAACTGCAAACATCATAACGTGCTAGCTGCAAAGTCTGAGAGCGTCAATGCCCACACATCGAGAAGATACCAGGCTAGAAAAGGAATAGCTGTAGTTCAAAGGCACAGAACCTCTAACCATGAAAGAAACAGGTTGATTAATATTTAGACCAGTGTCTCTCAACCTTGACAACTTGAGGATGTGTAGACTCCCGGAATTCTCTAGTCTGCCTTCATGCCTGGAGAATTCTGATAGTTGAAGTCCACAACATCTTCAAGTCCCCAAAGTTTCTCTACTTTAGAGAAACTGGAATGCTAACAACATAAATTAAATTGAAACTAAAAAGTACACCAACCTTTCCACAGCTTTTTCATCCTATTCATCCAGCTATGCTCCAGGAGCAAGACTATGAGAGAATTATTCTAAAGCACAAACGCACAATTGCCCAATTGCCAGTGCCGTTGAAATAATTGCTGCGCAGGTAGGCGAAAAGAGTATGAGCCACTGCAGTAAACACGTCAATGGCATTTTAAATACAAAGAATGCTCAGCCTCTTCTTAACAATTATACTACAATTATAAGACAAGGCCAATAATATTAGACAGCATTCTTAGACAGCATAAAGCACATAGCTATGACTGGATTCCTGCAGAGAAAAAAAAATGTAGATCGGGAGTCTCAGACTGCAGCACAAACCGGGTGCCATAATAAAAGATATGGGTAGTTTTCTTTTCTTGCCAGTCACCCTGACAGATTGATTTGGTTATTGCAAGTTCTGACAACAGGTTAAACCTTAGAGTGGGTTAACATGCAACATTCCTGTATTTCCAGAACACAGAGGACTAAACAAATATATCCCATTATGGCTTGTTCTTACAACAAACCAAGATAATGGATGGGTTTCCAAAACATACTGGACATGAAGTATACAACCATGTTGTAGCCTAGTTAAATGTGATGAGACAGATGCTTTCTGGATAGAGAAAACCTAGTGCAAGAAGCAAAAAAAAAAAAGGACCAGGAATAATGCCAAAGAAGAGACATGTTCTAAGTCTTCTCTCAGACTTCAGAGCTGGCAAGATTTAAAGTTTAAATTACAAGATTTACAGTCAACAAACCAACACCGTGCAGCGAAGTATGCTTCTTTTAAGGAATCTCTGCTTGTTCCTCTTAAAAGCTGAAATTTACCAAGTGTCACATTATTCTGCACAGAACTGAGAGGACAGAGAGAAAGTTTGATTCCAAGAGGTGTTCGTGATTTTACTGTTCAGAAAGTAGCTCATTTATTAAGTAACTGGTTGAGCCAAAAGAGTTAGAAAATCTATTCCAATATAAGCTGGAAGGACTCTTACCCCCCCCCCCCCCACACACACAACACACACAACACACACACACACACACACACAAGTAGCCATTAAGGAGCTATTTGGCTAGGACATCAATGGGTTTTATATCTCTTATTCTAGCCAAAGGCTTGTTTTGAAAAGATTCCCAGCCACTGGGATCTTTCCAGATAGCAAATATTAGCAGATGGTTGCTGAAAGCAGATAAAAAAGACCTTTGATAACTGCTTACTGCAGGTGTCAGTCTCCAGACAGAAATTAATGCAAAACAAGGCAGTGGTAGGTCACAATTGTTATTCAAGCCAGAAGGCCCAGCTGGGTCAGGGTGATGCCCTAGGATCCTTGGGGAGTTTTCAACTACAATGTACAACACAAAATTCCAGCCCACTCAATGCTCAAGGCAGAATATCCAGTCCAACATCAGCAAACTGATTGCCTCAAGACATTTTTTTTTTACTAGAGTATGCATTGCAATCCAATCCAGTCCAATCCAATCAATGTAAACCTAACTGCCGAACATGGAACAGCCAGGGATTATGGGAGTTGTAGTGCCCTGCAGCATGAAAGGCACAACTTTTAAGAGTTTCTTGCAAATGTTGTCCTCCCTCCCTTCCCAGAGCACTGGGTCCCATTGCTAGTCCAAAGTTTTGAATTCTACTGTAATATGAAAGAGATTTCAATCAATAGTAGTAGATTTGCAAATCCTCTCCAGGGGCCAAAACAAAACACGAAACCCCTCAGGTTTTTATGAAGCAATATAAATTCATTGAAGTTGTCTACATTTGCTTATTTTGGAGAAATGATTCTGGGAACCACAAAAAGGTGGAATAAGCAGAACTCTGAAACTCCACTGCCAGAGTATAAGAATAAATGAACACTTTAATGGTTCCTCAATACAAATCTTACTGAAGTTTCATCAGGCATAATAACCAGACACTTGTACATCTCCCTTTAAGGATCAGAAAATAGCTTTAAGATGATGAAGTAGAGTGCTGTATTGCTTTAACACTTATCTACCTCTCTATTTTCACACCAAATTGAACAGCTTCCCAAGTGTCACAGAACACTTTTATCACTCGTCCTCTTAACTCCTTGTAGCCTCTGGAGTTCCACTATATGCTGCAGCGTTTGTACGCGCCCGCCCGCAAAATACTGGACTCTACACGTCTTCAAGGATCTGCCTTTGCTTCAGTTATTTGTGTCTGGATGTGCTCAAAAATGCTGTTGTTCAGGGAAGCAGAAATTACACTGCAATAAATGTGACCTTCAGTGTACAGCTTAAAATTCCAGGGCTAAAATCCGACTCTCCAACTCCTTAAGTACACTGCTCCAAGCCCCCTCACATTTGTACTGATTTGTGGATGTTAATACAGAAAAAAAAAGGGAGGGGGACAATTGTCACTTGCCAGTGGCCCACAGCATTGTCGGCCCTTAACAGAAGAACCAACCCAATTTCAATTCTATCCTAGCCCTATCTACATATTTTCTTCCAAAGAAAAAACAAGTTTCATCCAAAACCAGTTTGGACATCTCTGCTTTAGATCACCAAGAATCCAATCCAGTCCCTGATTCTACTGTAACCGAGGATTTTCCATCACGACAAAACAAGCAGAAGTTCAAATGTCCTCATTTGCCCGATGAGCAAATTATTTCGAGGTACAGAACAAGTCTTTGCTTGCTTGAAACCTACCTGGAATAGTTTGAGGACTCAGTGTGCACCTGGATTCCCCTTCAATGACCCTTTGTGGTTCCCCAATTTGAGATCTATTCCAAATGGCTTGATTGGCTATTTGCTGAAACCTGCTCACTGCTCCGGTCTCCTGTACTTGCTTGTTACTTACACGATGGGGTGGAGACTTTTTTTTTTCCTTTCTGCCTCTGTAGCATAGATCTTGTTTACCAGTGGCTCAGCTCACCTTGTTTTCCCCTTGTTGGGGTGGCAATTTGAGTGAATGTGTAATTTCCAGAAGGTCAAACTTATTGTTTCCACATCTTCTGCTGGGCGCGTAATATTACCCGTATCCCAGGCAGAAATTGTAGAGCATCTTTGTCTTTGTTGAGTGAAGGTTGAGATCTTCCAGACAGGAGCAGAAGACACCGTTGCGAATGACGTTCTGTATCTCTCCGCTCTCTGACCTAAACCTGAGCAACTCTCGATATTAAAGCAGTTCAGATGGTCTAGGAACTTCTTCCTTCCAGTTCACAATTTCAATCCCATGGAAGGATTAAAAAAAAAAAATTTGGCTTTCCACAAGGCAGCAAATAACTTTCAGGTCTTGCAGAAATCATTTCATATGTCTCAATGAAAATATTTCTTCCTGCAGATCATAACAGATAGATAGATCCAGGCAGCCTTGCTGGCCTATAATTAAGCAAGATGTAAATTTGCCCTTCCAAATTCCTGAATTTCTTTGAGGCTGTTTTGGTTTGGGGATCAGTAGATAGGCTTGAATGCCTGTGGGCAATAACTTGGGAACAGGGCAGAAGGCAGAGAGAAGCTAAGCAGGTTCTCACCTATGGGTGAGGCTTTCGTGAGAGGAAGGTTCTTACGCCCTCTTGAAAACTCTGCTTCCTACCACAGATGGCCAAAGCAAAATAAAAGTCAACCAAATCTACATGCAACTGCCATGGTTGATGATCCTGGATGCGGCCTGCATGGAATATTATCACGCCCCAAACTCCAAAGATATTTCTTTGCAAAAACTAAGCCACGATAATAGAAGGAACAAAATTGCCCTACCTGTGTTTTACAGATCAGTTTTCAGCTGTCCTCATCTTTGTTCTGTTGTTGTTGTTTTTCCGGGTAGCCTCAGGTGTCTGTCTGCCCCCAAACTCTCCAATCTTCCCCACTTTTTATCTGACACAGTTTTGTTTTTGATTCATAGAGGCAAGCGATGCTCCGTGGTTTGAGAATGAGTCAGTGACATGATGTCAGGCAGACAGGAGGCAAGTCTGTGCCAACGAAGGAGAAATTGAGCCACTAGGGAACAAAATAAAGTCCAGAGACCTACCCTCAAAATGCTCTGGAGCTGAGCCTTAAAGGCTCCTAACACAGCGAGAGAGAAACAGAAGAAATGCCAGGCAGAGCCATCTGCAACTAGGCAAAATTCTAAAATGATGGCCAACTGCTGTGGCCCCTCTCTAGAATTACTCCAAAGAAAAGATTTATTCCCCTATGAAGAAGAAGAAGAAGCACCAGACAATTGCAGTTACTCAAAACAAACCACAGGACACAACACAGAACTTCAAGCAAAGCAGGATTCTACGCGGATAATTACAATTTTCCAAAACATCTAAAGGACAGTTGAACGTTAATGCTAAAATAATGGCTTTAGTCCTTCAACATCAGCCATCTTGGCAGTCTCTGGATATACTTTGCAGAAACCCTGTGAATTGCATAGAATTCTGGAGCAGGGTGAACTTAATCTGTGCCTGGAAAATAAACCACAATGCATCTCAGCCTGCTAATTTTAGACTGACCAGTTTCTAATAACTGAAGCCAAGAATTTTTTTTCAGTCCTAGAGAAAATTGAACTAGATATTATTCTAATGCAAAATTAGAATAGACCCTTCCTAGCCAGCTTCCAGCTAGCAAAGTCAGTAGGGGAAGATGGATTAGCTTAATGACCATTTAACAAATGCAGTGATTCGTTTAACAACTGTGACAAAAAGGACATAAAACTGAGTGTGACTCACCTAACAATCACTTTGTTTAGAAATGGAAGTTCTGGTCCCAGTCGTAAGCTGAGGACTACCTGTATTCAGGACCCATTAAAAAATATCCACCATAAATCTTCCATGCACTTACCTGAGCAAACATTCTATTGACCTCAATGGGACTTGTGAGGACTCCACTGCAAGGGAACTGTCAAATTTGAGCCCAACATGCAAGGGTGATTGGCTCCAATATCTGCAAATTTATCCAGGGACAAGTGAATAAAGAGATGCAATTTATGGCTGAATGGCACCTTGATAGATTTGATTGAAAAGAAACATTGAAGGTAGATAGCTGAGTATGTCACTATCCTCATTATTGTTTCAGAAGGGGGGGGTCAAAGAGGCCATCTATGTCAAAATTGAACAGCCCTTTCTCAACAGAGAGGGAGGAATACGACATCATTCGTCTCCAGTCTACAACACAGTCCTTTCAGCAGTTCCAAGAAGGCTCCACACCTATTTGCACCACTCAGGTGACCTTGAGGATGCAGATAAACCTCCAAGCGGCCTCAATGACTCTCTAAAAGAAGGCAAATGACCAGCTGTCTGCAAGGAGTATAAATCCTTCCATTCTCCACCATCCGGTCAGCTCTGAAGAAGTTTCTTGGATGAGAAGCAAAACGTCTTCAAAGAAAAACTAAGTCCACTTGCCTCGTGAAAAAGCACCTTTGGGACAACCATGACCTGGATGACTCTCACATCCACAGGATTGTGTTTTGCTGTCCAAATTCAACAAAGTCATGAGAAGGTCTTTGGAGGATGCGGAGCCTAAGGGGAATATATATAGCCTACAACTTACCCATGCCTTTTAGACCCAGTAAGCATTAATGCATTTAATTCCTTCTAAGTCTTCTACATCCTTGCCAGGATATCTCAGGAAAGAAGAGCTTTAAATATCTGATTCCATTTTCCAGATCTGGCACTGGATGCCCGCTTGAGGATCTAAGAAGGTTCCACTTCATCCAGAGAAATCAAGTGGGACCCAAGAAGCAATTGCAGTGAGTCCCTTTGTGACTATAAAAACTGCATTTTCAAACCAAAACTTACCTTCATCTTCCCAGGATTAAGGAAAGGGTTTGAGTTCCAGTGAAATTTAAACCCTTGTCCTCTTCTGCTTAGAAAGGAGCAGAGCTCAGCGCATGAAATAACACAACAAAACTTCTCTCCCCCCCCCCATCAGAATGTAGTAAAATGTATTTATTGGTGGTCAAATGAAAGTTATGTTTTGAAGGCATTTTCCAATTAAAAAAAAGTTTGTAACAACCATCTCAGGAATATGATGTTGCACACCCTGCAATTAAAATGTTGCATGATGTAGGTGATTTAGCAAGCTTTACAAGAGTTTGTAGAATGGCATTCTGGGTTGTTCCCCAAAAGTCTTGTCACATCGTCCATCCTCTGTACTCTTCTCAATGTTAAGCGGACATAATATCGGCGAGACATGGATTTCTGATCAGCGGCTTGACTGCGGATTTTAATCCCAAGGGATTGGGTTCTCCTTGATATGCAAGCATAGCAAGAGTGAACTGGAATGAGAGAGAAAGACAGGGAAAAAAAAGAAAACACAACTGGTCAGTTGGGCAAGCAAGCGGCAGGAAAACATTGCAAAAATGCAATGTTCAGTCCTCCGAATTCTTGTTAACACTTGCTCACATTCCACGAAATACAATATAGTGTAACTTGCTTAATGTTGCTCCTTGAGATTTTTTTTTTTTTCGAATATGTGCCCATTTTTAAAAGATACAGAGAAGAAAGCAGGACAGCCTCACCAAAGGACACGTAGGTGTGCATTTCAGAGAAATCTTTTTTTTGGCAATAGGCCCTCATTCAGCGTCTTTATCTTCCAAGCTCCTGAAAAGTGCTTTGCTGTCAGGACTGATTTTTAATCTCTCTTTCAGCTGTGCAACATCCAGAATATGATCCTCTAATGGAAAAAGTATGCAGAAGAACCCAAACGCTAACATTAGGTGCTTAAGATTGCTCTCATCAACGGACACAGGGCTGAATATTTCTGCTGAAGAGCTGGTAATTGATTTTCAGTTCTGACTATTTTCACAACATTTGTTGCCCAGTACACTGACTAAAACACACAAAGAACAGTTACAGGAATTGGGTATGTCGAGTAGGTCTGTAACCGTCATAAATATGAACCGGTTGGATGCTGATCGCATGATCGTGGGAAATGCTGCAAAGTTTGCAATCTCTGAAAAATGGTCATAAGTCACTTTTTTCAGTGCTGTTGGGACTCTGAGCGGTCACTAAATGAACTGCTGTAAGTCAAGGACCAGCTGTACTGAGAAATAATTCAGCGTGAGGCTCTACAGAAGGTCTCTTTATCTAAGATGACCAACTTTTTTACAATGAAAAGGAGGACACAAATAAATTGAAGAAAAAAAAATATCGTAAATAAAAGAAACATTTTATTCATTGCAACAATAATATAGACAACTTGCATGTGCAAAGTTTGCCAGCCGGGTGTTTTGGCGCGCTCAGCAGCAATTCCTCTTGGCTTTCGAAAGCCAGCAGTGGGAGTAGAACAGCTCATGCAAAAGTTGAAAACAAAACCCATCAAAAAAAGGTGCCGGAAAGCCGTTCTGAGCATTCTATGAGGGGGGGAAAAAGCCCTGCAGATTAGTCTTCAAATATCGAAAAGGAGGACATGAAGGAGGACACTTTTTGAGGGAGGACAGAACTTACAAAAGGAGGACTGTCCTCCCTAAAGGAGGACGGTTGGTCACCTTACTTTATCTCACCTGCCTGCTTTTGCACAGAATCAGACACAAAGGAGATACTGGGCCAAGGAGTCCTTTGGTGCAATGGGCCTGTGGGAGAGCAATGGGACAATGGGGTCAACCCATTCAAGACAGCATCATTAACTCTAATGCATTTCTCTAGGAAGGGAGGCAGCTGGAGTGAGAGAGGGAGGGAGGGAGGGAGTGAGAGAGGCACAAAAGCACCCCACCATCTTCTCCTGCTTATGCAAGCAAAGCTGTCAGAACTAAAGAATCCATAGATGGCAAACGCTGGGCCTTGTAATTACACAGCCAGCCTCTGTCTGCCTCCTGCTACGGCCACCTCCCAGGTGGAATGGGATGGCCTTTTGGAAATGGAGAGGGCAGCACGATTAAAAGGATGGAGGGCAGGCACCACACGCCTTGCCGCTGGCAGGGGATGGATTTTAATTAACTCAACTGCAACCATCCAGAGAGAAATTTGGAAGTGGTGGCCGGGAAGTCAGGACCGTGGGGGGGGGGAATGTCAAAGGCCATGCCTTTTGGGAAAGGAGGAAAAGATTGACACTCCATGTGGCCCGCTTGTCAATATTTGCTTGTCAGAGATGCCCCCCACCCCACCCCAGAACACAGCTTGTATCCCTTACTGAAGGGAAATTCTTGGTAGGAAGGCTTTTATTCCCAACTGTTCTCTGGATGGATGGAGACACGGCCATCCATGTGGTGGCTACGTTCCTCCATCATGGTGACCTCCAAACTAGGTATTTTCACAACCAAGAGAAGCTACACTTTGGCTAGATGTGGAATCGGGTGTGGCATTCCCTGGCGTGGAGAAGATTTTAGTGCTGCTGAACAAAACACTTTGCATTCCTTCCGGAGGGCCATATTGTCTGAGGCTAAGATGCTGTTTAACGTCTGTGGAACCCTACAGCTTCCCCAGCCTTTCTTTCCTGCTCATTTCAGAGCATTGCTTCAGATCAGCATTTCTCAACTTGCAACTTTAAGATGCGTGGACTTCAACTTCCAGAATTCCCCAGCCAGCATGATGGATTGGGGAATTCTGGGATTTGAAGCCCATGCATCTTAAAGTTGCCAAGCTTGAAAAACACTGCTCTGGATCAAAATAATAATAATAATAATGATGATGATGATGATGATGATGACATTGGGAGGGACCTTGGAGGTCATCTAGTCCAACCCCTTGCTCAGGCAGGAAACCCGATACCATTTCAGACAAATGGCCGTCCAGTCTCTTCTTAAAAGCTTCCAGTGTTGGAGCATTCACAACCTCTGGAGGCAGGTTGTTTCACTGGTTAATTGTTCTCACTGTCAGGAAGTTTCTCCTGAGTTCTAGGTTGCTTCTCTCCTTGATGAGTTTCCATCTGTTGCTTCTTGTCCTGCCTTCAGGCGCTTTGGAGAGTAGCTTGACTCCCTCTTCTTTGGGGCAGCCCCTGAGATATTGGGACACAGCTATCATGTCCCCCCTCGTCCTTCTCTTCATCAGACTAGACATACCCAATTCCAGCAACCGTTCCTTGTGTGTTTTAGCCTCCAGCCTCCTGATCATCTTAGTTGCTCTTATCTGTGCTCTTTCTAGAGTCTCAACATCTTTTTTACACCATGGTGACCAAAACTGGATGCAGTGTATTCCAAGTGTGGCCGTACCAAGGCCTTGTAAAGTGGTACTAACACTTCATGTGTTAATATAAGTGGCCTAGATCCAAAGAAGCCCAATTAAATTCCCAGTAATAGCAATCCTGAAACAGAATGCCAACAAAATAAAAAGGGCAATATGTTTAAAGAAATTTAAAGCCTCCTATTATTACCAATTTGAGCCCGCTTCATTTTTTTATTTAGAATTTTATTTTTCACCCTTCTCCCACTAAATTCTGCAGGGTAGCAAAAAAAGCCCTGCCCTTCTTTCTGTGTACCAATGTGATAGAGATATTTGCAACACTGGCATTCAGAACGTAGAGACTAAATGTCAGTCATTTCTTTTTTATACTATCAGCTTACTTCGGGGGCCACAAAAGCACCGATCAGTATCCCAAACCCTAACAATGCAGAAGACTAAATATTTGGCAACTAGAAATAAATCTGTTAAGTTTCAGGAGAAGGATCAGAACTGCATCACAGGGTCTGGCTTTCCTATCAGGGCAAAAGTCTTTTCTTTCTAAAAGAAAGATTTGGCTGAGTTTTCCAGCCAAATATTCTTGACCTATTTTCAGAAGAATTACTGTAGAGGGAAAAACAAAACAAAACAAAACCTATCGGATCAGGTTAAATATGTTAAGTACATGGCAACTGTTCGTTTTTTCCCCCCACTAATGGCATCTACCACAGTCTTTGAGGCATAGTGAATTCTGTTAATGATTTTTTTAAGTCGAGGAGGAGGAAGAGGAAGAGGAAGAAGAAGAAGAGGAGGAGGAGGAGGAGGAGGGGGAGGAAGAAGAAGAAGAAGGAAGAAGAAGAAGAAGAAGAAGAAGAGGAAGAGGAAGAGGAAGAGGAAGAGGAGGAGGAGGAGGAGGAAGACTGTGGAGTCCTTGGTGCTCTCTGAGCTGTTTTCTTGCAGATGTTTCATTACCCAGCTAGGTAACATCATCAGTGCTAGAAGGGAGAGAGGTTTGAGGTGGAGGAGGAGGAAGAGGAGGAGGAGAACTGTGGAGTCCTTGGTGCTCTCTGAGCTTGGCTGTTTTCTTACAGATGTTTCA